GATAGACATATAGAAAAAGCGGAAGGAGGGAAGCAGAAGGCCTATCTCAATTAAATAAGCTTCGAATAACGGTCAAGTCAAATTAATTTAAAACTTACATGTGTATATAACGTCTTCATATTGGATCCTACAACTTTTACGCCAAACAAACAAATAACTTTTTGCTCCAAATGGCTAGTTCTAACGATTCGTATCATTTTTTATTGGTCGTCCTCTCAGGCAAGGCCCAAAAAAAGAAGATCTTTGTCCACATTACATTGTTGTCAAGCACTTCGCTATTCCTGCCAACCTACTTAAACAAAACGCTCATTCAAACGAAATTTGCGTTAAAGGGCCCTATTTTGTTTTGATGAGTTTATGTTGACCAGATTGGCAATGTATTAAAAAAAGACAAATTACAAGTACCCTTAACCGATGAGCATGCATGAAAAGACTGAGGACTGTTGATGAAACTAACGAAGTATGTCAGAATCGTAGCAATTGGCGGTTCATAGTCTCTACCTACCCCCATGGGCGACAGGCGTGAGGTTATGTATGTATCTGATTAGATAAGTGGAGTTTATAATTGACTAATCGAACGAATACGAATGAAACCAAAGTCAAAAACACACTTTGCCTGTGATAATGACTGGCAACTTCTGAAAATAACATCAAACTTTTTATCTAGGTAGATTATTGCTATCTGTGAACTGATTTTTCTGATAAAACTCATTTAACATAAAATATAAAAACTCTACTGTGTATGTCAATACATGATAAATAGTAATTCAGTGAGCAGACGCAGCCATGCAGTGGCAGACGTGTGTGTTACTGTTGTGTGTGACGGCCATATTGGCGGACGACGAATGGCGGGAAGTGAAAACTGCGCAAGGCCCTGTGCGCGGACGCAAGCATCCTACGGAGGATATATACACATTTTTCAGTATACCTTACGCCACAGCTCCTGTCGGCGTTGACAAGTTTAAGGTAGGCGTAAGAATGCCTTCATAACAAACAATGTCTCATAAATATTTTCTTTATATCTAGACTTATATAACCAACAAAGTTTTTTATTGAATCCATCTACCTCTATGATCAAATATGCACCTAAAATTACTCTTTAAAGTCATGTTATTTCTTTTTCAGGCTCCTCTCCCGCCCCCGAAATGGTCTGAACCATTTGATGCCATCAATAAAGGCATAATATGTCCGCAAACCATTTATGCATTAGACGACGTTTATGATGAATCCTTTGTGCAACAAGAAAATTGTCTTATCTCCAATTTATATGTCCCAAATACAATTGAGAAGAATCTTTCAGTCGTAGTATATGTTCATGGAGGAGGATTCGTTATGGGTTGGGGAGAAATGTTGCAAATGACACAATTAATGAAGAAAAAAGATATAATCGTTGTTACATTCAATTATCGCGTAGGTGTTCATGGCTTCCTTTGTCTCGGTACTGAAGTTGCGCCAGGCAATGCTGGAATGAAGGACCAAGTAGCATTGCTGCGTTGGGTACAAGAAAATATCGCCAGCTTTGGCGGTAACCCAAATGACGTCACAATTATAGGTTACAGTGCAGGATCTGCATCAGTAGACCTGTTAATGCTATCTAAGTCAGCCGAAGGATTGTTTCATCGAGCTATACCAGAAAGTGGGTCTAACCTTGCCGCATTTTCAGTTCAACGTGATCCTATAGAAATCGCCAAAACATATGCCAAAATACTCAATTTTACTGACGTAGACAACATTGCTGCTTTGACAGACTTCTACACAACGACTCCACTGGAATTCTTAACTTCTACAGTGGCTGTTTTTGAGAGCACCGATTCTACTTTTATATTTTCACCATGTGTAGAGCTAGACATTGGAGAAGAAACTTTCTTGACAGAATCTCCTTTGAGTATACTTAAGACGGGAAATTATAAGAAGTTACCCGTATTGTATGGTTTCACTGACATGGAGGGATTAATGAACATGTTTCACTTCGATCTTTGGAAAAATAAAATGAACGAAAAATTTTCTGATTTCCTACCAGCTGACTTGAAATTTGAGTCTGAGGAACAGAGAGAAGAAGTCGCAAATAAGATTAAACAATTTTACTTTGGAGAAAAGCCAGTTAGTGAATTGACCGTCTTAGGATACGTCGATTATTTCTCCGACGTACTGTTCACTCAGTCAATACTTTGGACAACAAAGTTACAAGTGGAAGCTGGCAATAATGAAATATATTTGTACGAATACTCATTCGTAGACGAGGACACGCCTGTGGTGCCACATACCAATATTCGAGGAGTGGCCCATGGTGGTCAAACATATGCTGTAGCTGATGGTATAAATGGTGCAAATTTAGATGAATCACTAGCAACACCAGAGCACCAAGAAATGAAGAAGATAATGCGAGAAATATGGCACAACTTTATTAAAACTGGGTGAGTAGTAATAATAAAACCTTAGTATATATTTTTTTGTATTAAGAGTTCCGTTGTGACTTGAAACTAGTAGAACTTGTCTCATTTAGTTCTCGTTATTTTCAAATTATGTTTAGTACTAAGTAAATGTAATGAAGGAAACCTTATGTAGGATTGGTTTAATTAAAATTTCAGAAAACCTTTGTCTGAAGATTCGTCGCTGCCAGCGTGGCCCGCTACCGGCGTTGACAGGTCACCCCACATGTCGCTGGGTCAGAAGATAGAGCTGCGTGGCGTACTGCTAGATGAACGCACACGCTTCTGGGAAGACATCTACCAGAGATACTACCGGGAGCCTGTACCACCATCGACTACGAACTATGCCCCAAAATTTGAAAAAAATATAATATTGTATGTTTCTTGTTTCATTTTACTATGTCTGTCTGTCAATAGTTATTATTAATGAATGTAATGTAATGTATTGTGAAAAAAACAGTAATAAGGTTCGCTTATTGAACAAAAATAAAAATATGACGTGAAACATGATTGCTCTAACTAAATATGTGTTTTATTTTTTAGGTTACATTAACAAGCTCTGGTTTTCTGAATTATGTGAATGTTATAATAATAACCATTAAACTATAATTCCTTGATTTAGTGTTCAAATGAATATTTGTATAAAATATTGTAAACAGTTGGTTTGTATCTTAATATGCATAAGGTACTTGGGCAACAAATTTAATACAGTCTGGAGCTGACCAGTCTCAGTTGACAGCGCCTGTTCCAACCAGCACCGACCAACTCAACATTATTGTAGGGAATTTAGCAATCAATGCCAATGAGACTTTTGAGTGAGCATTACAACTCCAAGCTATCATCAGCTCAGTCTGGCACGTGAGGAAACCGAGTCTGAAATTGTGCCCGGTATATGGCAATAGGCTCACCCCCTATTACATGGGATCATAACACAAAAAGTGAAAAGTGGGTGTTACATTGTAGTGGCATTAAGTGTTGTAATGTGCACCTCTGCCTACCCCTTCGGTGATAAAAAGGCGTGACGTTATGTATGTATGTTATGCGAGAGCCTTGTAACTAAATAAATTAAATTACACTAGTAAAATGCATTTGTGTCAGCTTGGAGTTGCTCACTAAAAGTCTCATTGTTGATCAATCAATATTGTTGAGTTGGGCGGTGCTGGTGTCATAGTCATGAACAGGCGCTGTCAACTGGGACTGGTCAGCTCCAGACTGTATTAAATTTGTTCCCCTCAAGGTTATTTCCTTTTTCTTTCTCCTTGACTGAATATTGGTGTTACATTGTTCTCACATAACTAAACCAAACACTGTAACCAAGAATTGTATTGTAAACCAGATTGAAAAAAATAACCTATGGAGTTTCTTGCTTGTTGTTCTCCATAGGAATCTACACTTTGTAACGAGCAAATATCTTCACTAGGGGACTGACCGGCAGACATAGTAACATATTTAAATTTCAATAAAATTTTGATTTGACGTACAAATGTAGGTACGTTCCTGTACTATTTGAAACAAATGATTTTGACTTTGATAAAAAACGAACCATAAAACTAAACAGACAAAAATGACAACAATCGAATTAAAATGCGATTTTGACCATAAAAAGATAGTAAAGGATAACGCAAATAATTACTGTAATAGCTTCAAGATATGATATCTAATAACAAAACTCAAAACATCGTAGATATATAAACATCTGTCTCATTTATCAAAACCATACCTAAAAGAAGCTAAGACAGCAGGTTAAAAGAAAATTAATTTTAACAGCGGTTTCCTCACGTGCCAGACTGAGAAAAGCTCTACTACTTTCAAGTCACAGAACGACTCGTCATCATGAGCAGAGTGCGCGGAGACGGCGTCGTCACTAGTTTACTAGAAGCCTACTAAAATACAATAGAGTTTTTTCAGTATTTCATGTGAGCAAACTACATTAATTTAGTATGTCTAACGATCATTATTATACAATATTTAATTATCACCAGCTAGCAGTACTCTTTTTGCAAGTGCCGTGGAAGTCGATACGTTTACGAATATCATGTTATAAGTCCAATGTATAAGGAGATAAGGCTATTGCCATAAACTAAGTTGGTCTCGACAATATTTCGGAATGTTTCCAAGTCATGGTTTCCTCCATGGTAGCCTCCTAAAATTAAGATTGCGAGGAATAAAAAGGTATGAAGTTATTTATGTTTTATGATTCCATTTATTATTTAATAGGTTTATTTTAATACAACTAGAATGCGTACCCTTTTAAAAATAAAATTAATAAGTCAACATTTCATTCCGCTTAAAATAAAAATAACAATTTCACAATAGCTTTCGTCAGCTACCAGAAGCTGATGTCGAAACGAAAAAAATAAGATTTATTTGACACCAATGTCATAATGCACGTATCATATACACAGTTAATATACTACAGTATGTTGTTAATAACGTAACCATCAAGATTAAAATTAAAACCACGAAATATAAAAAAATGTAAAACCGCAATAAGAGTTGTAGTCTTATAAGTAGTCATACATACATATTATAAGTGAAAGAGAATTGTGGTCTCCTTAGATGAAATTATAATGAACCAGATAGGTAGTTAACAACAGATCTTTAGTATTATAACTCAATGCGTGATGTGTGTGGTGGTGTTGATGGTGGTACTGGCTCCCGGTAGTATCTCTGGTAAATGTCTTCCCAGAAGCGTGAACGTTCTTTTAGTAGTACGCCACGCAGCTCTATTTTCTGACCCAGCGACATGTGGGGTGACCTGTCAACGCCGGCCGCGGGCCACGCAGGCAGTGACGAACCTTCAGGCACAGGATTTCTGAAATACATAGGTGAGTTTCAATTTGAGGATAGACTTACAACTGTATTATACTATATACGTTTATTAACGTTTGTTATTTTCTTAATAAATATTCACACTGTACACATGTACTACATTTTGTTTAGTTATTATAGTGCCAACATATTATAATAATATAAACTCTACGACAAAAAACTAGCTTACTAGTATTTAATTTACTAAAGACTTACAATATTTGTAACTTTCTTAAGACATACTAAATAAATTATTATGTTTTCGGCTTACTCATGAATATTAGCCTCTAGCATGGCTTGAAACTAGTCGAGTATCTCGTCAAATAATTACGTGAGTAAGCCGAAAACATAATAATGTACTAAAGACTTACAATATTTATCATGTTTACTCACCCAGTTTTAATAAAGTTGTGCCATATTTCTCGCATTATTCTTTTCATTTTCAGAAATTCTGGAGTCGCTTTTGATTCATCTGGTTGTCCAAAATTTGTACCATCGGCTACAGCTATCGATTGATCACAATGGTTAGCACCTCTAACATTGGTGTGTGGTACTATTGGTGTGCTCTCTTCTACAAAAGAGTATTCATACAAATATATTTGATTATTGCCCGCTTCCACTTGTAACTTAGTTGCCCAAAGCATTGCATTAGTAAATAATACATCGGAGAAGTAATTAATGCACCCTAAGATGGTCTCTTCACTGACCGGCTTCTCACCAAAGTAAAATTGTTTAATCTTCGTAGCGACTTCTTCTCTCTCCTCTTCAGATTTGAATTTTAAGTCCGCTGGTAAGAAATCAGAAAATTTTTCGTTCATTTTGTTTTTCCAATCTTCAAAATATTGAAAATGCATCAATCCTTCCAAATCAGCAAAACCATAAAGGACAGGTAGCTTCTTGTAGTTTCCTTCCGATAGAATTTTTCGAGGAGATTCTGACAAAAACATTTCTACTCCGATATCACGTTCCACACACGGGGCAAATAGAAAAGTAGATTCGGGTCTACCAAAAACAGCACTTGTAGAAGTCAAGACATCCAGTGGAGTCGTTGTGTAGAACTCTGTTAAAGCAGTTATATCGTCTACGTCAGTGAAATTCAGTATTTTGGCATAGGTTTTGGCGATTTCTATAGGGTCACTTTGAATTGAAAATGCGGCAAGACTTCCTCCACTTTCTGGTACAACTTTGTGGAACAATCCTTCAGTTGACTTAGATAGCATTAATAGGTCCACTGATGCAGATCCTGCACTATATCCTAAAATTGTAACATCATCTGGATTACCACCAAAGCTGGCTATGTTCTTTTGCACCCAACGCAACAATGCTACTTGGTCCTTCATTCCAGCATTGCCTGGTGCGATTTCGCTACCCAGACAAAGGAAGCCGTGTACTCCCACCCGATAGTTGAAAGTAACGACGATTACATCTTTTGTCTTCATGAACTGAGTGTATTTTAACATTTCTCCCCAGCCAACCACGAAACCTCCTCCGTGAACATATACTGCGACCGAAAGATTCTTTTTATTAGTTTTTGGTACATATACATTAGCAATAAGGCAATTTTCTTGTTGCACCAAAAGATTTGTGCTAGTTTCAAACATCGGAAGATGGACTTGTGGACATATGATGTTTTTGTTAACAGCATCATACGGTTCCAACCATACCGGAGGAGGTAAAGGAGCCTGCAAAATGTAATAATAATAATAATAAGTAATGATGTTCGAAATACAGACAGTCAGTGTGAAGAGTTTACTATTCAGAGGTGAACTGAATGAGGAATCAAAACTAAACAACACACCACAAGAAAAACTAAAACTTTGCTGTCGTTGGAATTGTATACACATCACAAAACAGTCAAAAAAATCAAACTATCCAATAAACAACAGTCTCCTCCTAGACTATTGCAATGAATCGAAAAAATACGAACAATTAAACATTTTCGTGTAAAAACGTCTATGACTTACCTTGTATCTGTCAACGCCGACAGGTGCTGTGGCGTAAGGAATATTGTAAAATGTGTATATATCCTCCGTAGGGTGCTTGCGCCCGCGCACAGGCCCTTGCGCAGTTTTCACTTCCCGCCATTCGTCGTCCGCCAATATGGCCGTCACACACAACAGTAACACACACGTCTGCCACTGCATGGCTGTGTTTGCTCTCTGAATTACTACTGATCGATATGTTTGAAGCAGGCTTCTTATATATTGGTGTTTATTATCAGATAATTGATGTACCGTGTACCATTTTATAAATTTTAATCGCATGTTTACAATATTGTTGGCTCTTACTTTGCTTAGAGCGTGGTGTCTAATATCCTCGAGTTGGGCCTGTGCGGAATCAAATATGGCGACATTTGAGACTTCCTTACTTCAACTATCAAGCAATTACCAACAAGCGCTTGTCCTTGGTCGGCTAAGTAAGTCCCTAAGTAACAATGTGCTCTCGTTTATGCAACTGTATATGACGTTGCAAATAGTTAAATGAATAGCATAAGCTATAAATAATGATATCGTTGATATAAAAAAATAATTCCGTAATCTAGAGATAGATTTTTCCATATTTTTATCAAACATACCTAGTCAAATCGTCTGGAGAGTAAGTAAAATCTCATGGTGTACTGGGGGTCTAAGTCTTGACTGATATGTTTTATCCCGATCATAACTACTTATTGTTTCAAAAAAAAACCTCTAATTCTATTTTATTATACAAATAATATGTCAGATTACAGACAGTAATCTCTTAATACATATATAAAAATACTATCTAGTAACTTTATTTTATTCAAAGTTTTTGACAGCAACAACAATTGTCGCTATTTGACGGTGACCTTCTTCGGTTCTTTACTTAATTAACTAATAATCGCCGGTTACTCACCTGTACGGTTCTTTACTTCTTAGACATGACGAAACAATATGTGAACTCTTTAATTTACCGTCTAAGGGCAGAAGAGGCGCCGATTCGGAGTCGCGGAGAACCTAACGGGTAACCGGGGCTCCAGCTCGACGTGCAGGAGAAGGAACGGGGTGGTTTTTAGTCAGTAAGAGTCTGACACTCCCTCCCGCCTCACCCAGGTGGGGGCAGTCATTCGATGATTTTCCCCCCTTAAAAAAAAAAAAAAAAAAAAAAGGGCAGAAGAGGCATACTTCGGCATGAATAGCATGCTAGACCGGAGTGATACCTCGGCCTCACTAAAAACTGGCGTGAAATAATGCTTGCATTGTGTTTCGTTGTGTGAGTGAGGAAGAGGAACATAAGTCGATAAACTATTCTAGATTTAGAAAACGGAATTTCATGTAAATTATAATAATAATAATTGATGAAATAATGGATACAACTATTGAAAACAACAATTCAGTTATATTTGTTACGGCAATTTAATCGAAGCTACACAGTATTAAAAAAAATAGTTAAAAAAAAATTACCTTAAACTACCTATCTTTAATTCTTGGATGCCACTCGAAAGTTAATATTCAATTGTTTTACGATTCAGAGCGTGGTTTGGGGGGAACTCCTGGCGGTGGTACAGGCTCCCGGTAGTATCTCTGGTAGATGTCATCCCAGAAGCGTGTGCGTTCATCTTGCAGTACACCACGCAGCTCTATCTTCTGACCCAGTGACATGTATGGTGACCTGTCAGCGCTGGCAGCGGGCCACGCAGGTAGCGATGAACCTTCGGGCACAGGTTTTCTGAAATACGCGAGTTTTAGTTTGAAGTCATTGATGTCTTATTATTGGTTTTTATTTTACCTGTCCGTATCTTTCGTCTTACAAAATATACATCATCTTATCTCAAACACTCTTGGTTAATAATAATCACACAAACAATCTATGTTTAAAATGTCCTTCTTCTCTTTCATTCTTTTATTTTCGAATTAATTGATATGCTTTAAATTGAATCATATGCGCAAATTATAGCGTAGTACGTATTTATTTTTACTTACCCCGTTTTAATAAAATTGTGCCAAATTTCTCTCATTATCTTTCTCATCTTCTGGTACTCTGGAGTTGCCAGAGATTCAGGTGGATACATGTCCGTTACAGCCATAGATTGATCATTATGGTTCGCACCTCGAATATTAGTATGTAGTATCAAAGGTGCGTCATCTTTTATAAACGAGTATTCGTACAAATATATCTGATCATTGCCGGCCTCCACATGGGACTTAGTTGCCCAAAGCATTGGATGAATAAATCCCACATCAGAGAAGTAATTAACAAATTTCAAAACGTCTTCATCGCCAACCTGCTTCTCTCCAAAGTAAAATTGCCTAATCTTTTTAGCGACTTCTTCTTTTTCCTCTTCAGAATCAAATTTCAAATCAACTGGTAGAAAGTCTGAAAATTTTTCGTTCATTTTATGTTTCCAGTCATCAAAATATTTTATATTCATCAATCCTTCCATCTCAGCAACCCCATATAACACAGGTAACTTCTTATAGTTTCCGCTTTTTAATATGCCCAAAGGGAATTCTGTCAGGAATGTCTCTTCTCCAATATCTCGTTCCACACATGGTGAAAATATAAAATTCAAATCTGGTCTACCAAAGACGCCAGTAACTGAGGTCAATAATTCTAACGAAGCCGTTGTATAGAACTCTGTTAGAGCATGCATATCGTCAACATTAGTAAAATTGAGCATTTTGGCATATTTTTTGGCATTTTCTAAAGGGTCACTTTGTATTGTAAATGGACTAAGGTTTGACCCACTTTCTGGCACAACTCTATGAAACAATCCTTCAGCTGACTTAGATAGCATTAATAGGTCAACTGATGCAGATCCTGCACTTTGACCTATGATTGTGACGTCATCTGGGTTACCACCAAAGCTGGCGATGTTCTTTTGCACCCAACGCAGCAATGCTACTTGATCCTTCATTCCAGCATTGCCTGGTGCTGCTTCAGTGCCGAGGCAAAGGAAGCCGTGGGCACCCAATCGGTAGTTAAACGTTACGACGATTATATCTTTTGACCTCATTAACAGAGTGTATTGCATCATATTTCCCCAGCCAATATGAAATCCTCCTCCATGAATATTCACTACGACCGAAAGATTATTGTGAACTGTATTTGGTACAAATACATTAGCAATAAGACAATTTTCTTGAGGTGCCACAGCTTTTGGAATTAAATCGGTGAACAGTGATTTGACTTGCGGGCATATAACGTCTTTATTGATAGCATCATATGGTTCTGACCATACCGGAGGTGGCAGAGGAGCCTGAAATAAATTAGAAGTTTATCGTAAGATTAATAATACCCTATAATTTTATTTTGAAGCTATAATTATGTACACTAGATTAACCTAAAGCTGTTTAACCTTTAAATTAGCAAAATATTTTTATTACCCTTATTTGCTGTAAGTATGTACAACAACTTGTTTTTAACTTTGTCAACAGGTATTTAACAGGGTGCTTACCTTGAACTTATCAACGCCAACAGGTGCTGTGGCGTAAGGTATATTGTAAAATGTGTATATATCCTCCGTGGGATGCTTGCGTCCGCGCACAGGCCCTTGCGCAGTATTCACTACCCGCCATTCGTCATCCGCCATTGTGGCCACACAAGTCTGCGCCTGCATAGCTTCGATTGATGACTAAAGTAACTCTGGTAGATACATATGTTTGTAACGCGCTTGTTATATATTTAACGTGAATATTATCTCGAAAATAAAGTTTTGATAAGGATTCTTTAAAAATCTACTAAAGATTTGTGTTATAATAAATTATGGTTAAGTTGGTGAAGTACATGATGAATGTCAAATTCAAAGTAAAATTCATTAAATACAATTAGACCAGGAAGGCACTTTTTAACGAGGAAGGCACTTTTGAACGGTGGTCATCATTGTAAGGTGTAATGTATTGTTACATCCATAATAATTGGGACATTAGATAGGCTAACGGGAGGTCCGGACATGGATTTCATAGCTGAAGATGATGAAATTCAGTATAAAAAACAGTTAGGTTGACTCACAGAAATGATAAAGTATCGAAATGATGAAATTTTAATGACTAAAATGTAAAGATACATTTTTGTTGTGTTTAAAGTGATTGGTCATCATGAATCTTAATCAAATTCATTGATCATCATGATTGACTATTTTCCTGTATATTGCCCAAAATTTGTGGGTCGAACCCAAATGTTTGTCTGTATCCGATAAGTCTCCCGGTTATCTTTGAAGTACCTAGAAGATGATAATTAAATAATTTCGTAATAATTTCTTTAATTTCACATATATGCCTAGTAGGTAAAGTAGGTAAAATATCGTATCTATATAGATACTAACCGGATATATCATTATTATGTATGTCTTTACCATTCACGGGACCATAGGATCCCAGTCATTTGGGAGGCGTACGAGGAGCCGAAGCCAATTGCGGAGAGACCCTTTAGACAACTTTAATCTAAATGTAATGGACACACAAACTGACGACTATCGAAACGCACCCAAGGATAGTCTCCGGATAGTGTAGAACTATTGTGGATAATGGAAAAAAAGGTAGGGATATGGATGGGTTGCTGTGGACTGGTATATTGGAAACTATGGATGAACCAACACTATAAAGTTTTCATTTTCACCAACAACCCCTAAAACATCTCTTAACTGAACGTTACTTTAGTACATCTCAGTTTAGGTGCTACGTCACTCCTTACTTGTACTCTCAGATATCACTTCCAACCAAAATTATGTTAAGTGTCACCTATCTCAACTTAAAGGTTCCTTAAAATATTGGAGAGGTCGGTGAAAACGGGCAATAGATAGAGAACATAAATTATCTCCTATATTTTAATTTTAAATATTAAAGGCATTTATGGAAAAACCTGGACATATGCATTACAGATGCCATGACAAAAAGAGGTGGGCCTACTACTGGGCAGCTTGACGTCGGTGCTTATAATTAAGAGGAGGTGGCCCATCACAACTGGTTCAGGCATAGGCATGGGTATTTTTTCGCCAACTACCAGTGGACATGGCGTAACAGAGGCTACTAAATAGATGCAATATAGCCTTCAAATGAAACACTCTAAGGCTATCCAAGAGGTAGAAGTCACTAATGTTATCCGAAACCATAGGTTCTGTGCCATGAGACTACGACCAGCTGACCACTACATAGACCAATAATTGTTGTGAAGTAGATGCAGTTACTTTATTTGGGTAAAAGTTGTAAGTTTAAACTCAAACTCAAACTCAAAAGCATTTATTTCAATTAAACCATAATTTGGTACTTTTGAAACGTCAACAAATATGAGATATATAATAGTCTGTCAGTCTGTCCGTCAGTGAAGCTAGGCGCTCGTTCCAAAATGTCGATTCGAGTGGAGAAGAACGAGCAAGAAACTCCATTCGTTACTCTTTTAAAAAAGTCTGTTTTACATTGCTCTGATACATATTCCAATATTGTACACACATGTGAGAATAATGTAAAGACATACCTGAAGCAACATACAAATAACAGAACATACTAAAATAGAAAAAAAAAAAAAAAAACCAAGAGAAAACAAATATCTTAAGTCTGACATGGTCCTCACATATGTATACTGACAATCCATATAAAATAGTGCTTCTATACAAGAAAAAAATAAAAAATATACTCTTGTTTAAATAAAGAAAGAAATGCTCGATGCCACAAGAAAAATAGATTGCCTTCATCGGAATCAAAGTGTTAAATTACCTATTATCGTAATCTGAACTAGGTACTGACTACATTTGAGTATTGTCCAGTGGAGCCGAACCAACACGCTGCCAAGCATTCCTATCCTCAAGATAATCAATCACCCTGTAGTACGCTTGTTTACATAATTCGCGCTTAATATATGTTTTAAATTTACTTTCATTTAGATCTAGTATGCTATTTGGTATTTTATTATAGCATTTAATACCTAACCCCATAAAGGATTTCTGTACCTTGGACAGTCTGAATTGCAGTACAGCTAACTTATTCTTGCCTCTAGTATTAAGATTGTGTCTATCGCTTCTTTTTTCGAACAATTGCCTATTCTTTCTTACATACATTATATTTTCATATATGTATTGACAGGGCACCGTTAAGATGTTTATCGTTTTAAACAATTCTCTTAGCGATTCGCAACGGCGTAAGTTATATATTGCTCGGATAGCCCGCTTTTGAAGAATAAAAATTGATTCTATTTCTGCAGCTCGACCCCACAACAAAATGCCGTACGACATAATGCTGTGAAAGTAACTAAAATAGACAAGCCTTGCCGTATCTACGTCCGTGAGCTGTCTAATCTGTCTAACTGCAAAAGCAGCTGAGCTTAATCTCCCCGAAAGCGCCTTTATATGTGGGCCCCATTGTAGTCTATTGTCTAATGTAATGCCTAAAAATACCGTCTCGTCGACAAATTCTAACTTTTGGCCGTTTAAAACAACATCACAATCATTACTTCGGACGTTTGGTAAACTAAATTTAATACATTTTGTTTTTTTCTCATTAAGCGCTAGATTATTAATGGTGAACCAGTTTTGCACTCGAAGAATGGAGCTGTTTACGTCGTCAAGATTATTAGCACGTCGATCTATTTTAAAAATTAATGAGGTATCATCTGCAAAAAGCACCATTCTTGGTTCATTCTTGAATATAAATGGCAAATCATTTATATAGACTAAAAAGAGAAAGGGACCCAATATTGAACCCTGTGGAACGCCCATATTCATCGTAGAGCCCTGCGAGTTAATACCATTAACATGAACCTTTAATTGCCTATCTTCTAAATAAGACTTTATTAGACAGAGTGCGGTGTTTCTGATCCCGTAGTGATCTAATTTCAGCAAAAGTGTCTCGTGGTCAACGCAATCGAACGCTTTTGAGAGGTCACAAAAGACACCAATAGCATCTTGTGCTTCCTCCCAAGCACCAAATATTTCTTTCATTAAAGTGACACCGGCGTCAGTTGTACAACGACCTTTAGTAAAACCGTATTGTTGTTGGTGAAAGATAGAATGTTTATTAAAATGATGAAGCATCCGAGACAGCATTAACTTTTCAAATACTTTGCTGAGAACCGGCAAAACAGATACTGGCCTATAATTGTTTGGTTCTTTAGTGTCACCACTTTTAAATAATGGGACAACTTTACTATATTTCATTAGGTCAGGGAAAACACCGTCATCTATACTTTTATTGAAAATCACAGCCAAGTATGGCGCTATAGTTTGAATAAGTGATTTGCAAACTTTTACCGATAGTCCCCATAGATCTTCAGTTGATTTGATCTTGATCTCTTTAAAAACTTTTATTATTTCTAGAGGATTCGTATATCGAAAACTAAAGTCGTGCTGACACGATTGTATATGATTCTTAAGCAAAGTTACAGAGAGTGTTGCTGATGACTCTAAATCTTTGGTTGTTTTGATAGGAATGTTGGCAAAAAAATGTTCAAACTCCTGGGCTACATCTACGTTGGATGAAATCTGTCCCCTTTCAGTATTTAAACTTAATTCTGAATTTCTTAATCGTTTCCTACCAGTCTCGTTGTGTATAACTTTCCAAGTAGCTTTTATCTTATCATCAGCTGCTTTTATTTTATTACTAATATAAAGACGTTTCGCGGTTCTGCATACTATTCTAAAGGTTTTTGAATATGATGTTACATACTGATGAAATTGGAGGTTGGTGTTGTATGGTTTCATTCCATAAAGCTCAAAAAGTTTGTCCCTACTCTTACGAATACCGACAGTTGCCCAATCGCTAAATACGAACTTGGTATGAATGTCTTTTGTTTTTATTGGCAAAATATTGTTAAATTCTGTGTTTATAACTTTAAAGAAATCTTCGTATAACTGACTAGGATTACTTATATCTAGTGTTTTTGTACCTAATTTATTAGCCACAGAATTCTTGAGTTTCTCTAATTTATTAAAAGTAATTTGTCTAAATCTTATTTGAATTTTCTGCAGAGGCAAGTAAGAGCTAAAAGCAACCATAAGTCCACAGTGGTCGGAAGGCAAGCTGTTCATGACTATTTTTTCTAGATAATCACAATTACAGAAAACATTATCGATACAAGTGGCTGTGGAAGATGTTATTCTGGTTGGCTCCAGAAACACATTTTTCAGATTAAATGAATAAAATAAATTTAATAGCTCCATGCTACTTGTGTTATTCTCTAATAAATTTATATTAAAATCGCCACATACAAGTACAGATTTATTACCAGAACAGACCTTCCCCAGAACATCCTCCATGACAGAATCGAATAATGCAAGATTCTGGTAATTAGGTGGTCTATATACACAAACTACAACATGTCTATCCAGCTCAACACAGGACAACTCAATGGTGTGTTCGACTGACAATGCTACAATGTCTTTCCTATCCTTTGACTTAATACTGTTTCTAACTAATATTAAAGACCCACCGTGTAACATACACTTCCTACTAAAATTACTAATAACATTGTAATTTTCAAAGTTTAAGGATATTAATTGATCCTCCTTCATCCAATGTTCTGATAAACAAATTATGTCAAACTTAGTTTTTTCTAAAAACATTTCCATTTCAAACAATTTAGAGTAGCAGCCCTGAATGTTAACATGAAATAATTTTAGATTGTGCTGCCCCTGACTATGTGTATGTTTATTAAGAGTGGGTTTTTTCCTGCCAGAACATACCTTCCTGTCAAAATTATTTATGGGGGTACACTCTGTTGTCTTATGATCTAGTTTAAATTGCTATTATTGGTTAAGCTAATATTGTTATTAAAGTTAAAATTTATCATTGTACTGTTAGGTTGCCTAGACAGCACAGATTCGTCCCTATAACTAGTTACTGTTATATTATTTATAACAGTGTTAATATTGAATGCTATCAGCATAGCAATAGTTTGTCTGTATGTTTTTGAAAGGTACAATACACCTTTCTCTGTCAATTTAAAATCACTAATAAACTTATTAGTATCGAAAAATAAAAGCTTGTCGCTATGACAACATGTCAGTTGGTGTAATGAACTATTTAGTACACCAATGTGTTTATTTTTTGACTGTGACAAACAGTCAGAATATGGGAATGCACAAAGCATTATTTTTCCCACTTTTAATTGTAATAAGGTGTTCACACCATTCACTATATCCCTTCTTTTTACACCTAAGCTGTTACCTATTGTTAACACTATCATAGACTTTTCATTTAATTCTGTCTGCGTTATTTTATGAATAATTTTATTAAAACTCAGACAAAAGTAAACTTGTACTGTAACTTATTGTGTTAAGTAATGAAGTTCAATTATTGTACTACCTTGGTCCATTGTCAGTATAATATCGTTGGCATTAGTTCAGGTATGGTGAAGTTGTATACCTCATATGAAAGCTTAGGCAATGTAGATGTTTTTAGTAAAAAGTCCACAATAAGTGTCATAGCAAATTTTTATGTTAGAGAACCATAATAGGTAAACTTGAAAAATAAATCTTATGTTATATGAATTTGAGATAAATGTGTCTAAAATAATTTTATTATTGTGCATTTTTTTATTACCCTCTAAAAGTTAAATATTTTAATAACTGTACATTTTCCGCCTAGCCCTTTGTTTGACAATAATATTGGAAATGATCTGTTCTATAACCCCATACGCAATTATGATCTAAAAACAACGCAACTGTATTTTTATTTTTTTAAGGGGAGAAAATCATCGAATTACTGCTCCCGCCTGGGTGAGGCGGGACTGCGGGAGGGAGTGTCAGACTCTTTCTGACTAAAAACCACCCCGTTCCTTCTCCTGCACGTCGAGTCGGAGCCCCGGTTACCCGTTAGGTTCTCCGTGACTGTATAGGAAAATATGTTGCGTAACAAATCGCGCGTCTAGTGTAATCTAGTGGATATGAGCTCTTTACATAATAACAGTCGTAATACATATATAGATGCAGTAGAGTTATCTGAGAGCGTCTTAAGTCACAATCATTTATCGCAGTCAAAATAAATTTTATCAAAGAACACTTGCACTTATCTAATTACTAAGGCTTATCGAAAGACGAATTTTTATCTACTAGTGTTGTACTGAAAATAATTTACGCTGTTATCAAATATTCGATTGTATATATTTATCTAGGACACGGTGGATACAATGGCGGTGTGCCCTGCTTGGGCGAACACCGCCGTGTCCTCGAGGATGTGGCCGACGATGGCGACTTCTCGCGTCCAGCTCTGGTTCAGCCCATGGTATGGAGCGAAGGGGACTGGGATGCCGTCTCCTCCTTCTGCGAAACAGTCATGCTAGCTAAGGAGGAGGCGAGGCGCCTAATTCCTCACACCTCAGCCGTCGCGAGAGACTCCGGGTGTCGCGGATCATGAGATGATGTCTGGCAACGTAATCACGGGCCCACGGACGGCAACCACAAATAACTCACCGCCTGAGCAGAATCAGACCTGAGCATATGGCGCGTCACATTCAGCGCGCCTCGAAGAGCCATCAAACTACTGCAGATGAGGCTCAGTGGGGCTGATGCCGTATACGGAGCTGCGGAAGACTTAACGGGTTACTGGGGCCACTGTTAGAAGTGCAGGAGTAGAAACGGGGTGGTTTAAGTCAGTAAAAGTCGGACACTCCCTCTCGTCGCATCCGGGCGGGAGAAGTCATTGGATGGAAAATCATCCTATAAGAAAAACAATATTAGCTCCAATTTTCTATATCAGATTTGGAGTACGAGTCATTATTTTCATTGGAAGGTTTTTTGTCTGTGGTGACAGACAAACGGATTTTTGTTAGGTTTTTTTTCAAACTCTTATATTTTAACAGTAATTGTAATAATATTTTTTTAATAAATTGCCTATTAACATATTCATTTGTAAGTGATAAAACGTTAAACATTTGTATCTCCATGGTTTATCGGAACAAGGACGAATCAAGTCATTTACAAATTCTAACTTTAGAAAAACCTGCCTGAACAACATTTAATCATTCAATTTATCAATGCACTGATTTTTTTCAAAATAATCCCACTTTCTTTAATTAATTTAAATTAAAGTCGAATACAAACACATACCGTTTTCGATACGTGGTCACATCACTAAAACTGAAAATATATGCGACGGTATCAAAATATCTGTAGCGTATTTTATTAGTGTACTAGCAACCTCACGAATCTAACGTCGAATGTTTTTCAGAAGATAAGAATTTTACATTATATAAAATAGTAGCAAAACAAACATGTGGAAGATACTAATATTGCTAAGTGTTGTGACGTTAGGTTATTGTGACGATGGTGAGTGGAAACAAGTGCGCACTGCACAAGGAGAGGTGCGCGGACGCAAGGACCCTGCCGGTGGACTCTACGCATTCCTTAATATTCCATATGCTAAAGTGCCTGTTGGAACTGACAGATTTAAGGTAAGAATCGTATTATTACTTTCTTACTGAATAATTTATCTTATTTTACAATATTCAAATTTGGCTTTATCTCAATTTCCAGGCACCTCTTCCTGGACCGATATGGCTGGAACCACTAGATGCCATCGACAAAGGCATCATATGTATGCAACCGCCTTCACCATTCTTTGACACTAGTTCCAAAGTAATGCAGGAAGATTGTCTTATCACTAATGTTTATGTTCCTGATACTGATGATAAAAACCTACCTGTTGTAGTATACATTCATGGAGGTGCATTCGAAATAGGATTTGGAAACATGATGACACCCAAACACTTAGTCAGAAACAAGAAGGTTATTGTAGTCAATTTCAATTATCGTCTTGGAGTACACGGATTCTTATGTCTGGGCACTGAAGACGCGCCAGGAAATGCAGGACTGAAGGACCAAGTGGCTCTACTTCGCTGGGTGAACAAGAATATTGCAAGTTTTGGTGGTAACCCAGACGATGTTACTATAGCTGGCTACAGTGCAGGCTCAGTCTCAGTCGACTTGTTGATGCTTTCGAAATCGGCAAAAGGACTGTTCAATAAAGTCATAGGTACTGGAGAGTGGAGTAAGCGTGGGTTTTATAGCCATTCAAAGAAATCCCATAGAAAACGCTAAAAGCTACGCCAAAATGTTAAACTTTACTAAAGTTAATGACTTTAATTTAATGCAAGAATTTTACAAAAGTGCTCCAATGAAATCAATGTTCGTGAGCACATTTTTAGGTAGAAAAGATTCAACTGTGCTATTTTCACCTTGCATAGAAAGGAGAAAAGGTAATCAGGCCTTTTTAGATGAATCACCCTATAATATTATCAAGAGTGGCAAATACAACAAAATCCCTATGCTAATCGGCATCAGTAACATGGAAGGATCTTTGCAGATGCACCATGTGGGAATATGGAAAGACTCTATGAATACCAAATTCAGTGATTTCTTGCCAAATGATATAAAATTTCAGAGCAATGACGAAAGAGAAATGGTGAGCAATAAAATTAAGGAATTTTATTTTGGCGAACAGCCAGTAGGAGGGGAAACCATACTAGCTTACCTGGACTATTTCGGTGATATTATGTTTGGCTATTCTACTTTGAGAGCAGTTAAATTACATTTGGAAGCTGGGCACAAGCAATTCTATTTGTATGAATTCAGTTTCGTGGATGATAGTGTGCCTGTCATACCTAACACAAACGAACGTCGTGCACAACATTGCGCTCAAACTATGGCTGTACTCGAAGGACCTGTAGATGAAGATACTTTATCTGAAGAGTACAGAAATTTAAAGTCTGTTATAAGAGAAATGTGGTCAAACTTCGCTATACACGGGTAAATACAGTCTTTATTGTTTGGTTTAGTCTTCTAGTTTTGAAACGATAATTCGTTTGTGAGCAATATTTTTAAGAATAACCTCAAATATCTTAATTTAAGCAGACTTACAAAGGTATATAAACAGACGATTCGTTTTTGAATCCTTAAAGGTTTTCAAATCAATTTCATCCGATTTCTAACTTTTCAGGACTCCTGTGACTGAAGATTCGTCGCTGCCTACATGGCCTACGACAGGTGCAGGTGGGAGTCCATACATGTCTATTGGAAAAGCAGTGGAGATAAAAGAATCCTTTTTGGGAGAACGTGGGAAATTCTGGAACAAAATCTATGAAAAATACTACAGCGCCCCAGTGGCAGTGGCGCCACCTCCACCACAAGCATATCACAATGAACTGTAAATGAAACAAGCTGCTAATTTTTGTATATATTTTTTTAATAAAGATTTAAAAAAAGTTATTTAAATCTTAATTCAAGTTGGTACAATAATTTGTATCGATATTGTTAAAAAGTTTTTGTAGATCAGGTGGAGCTATCCAGTTTTTGGAACTCTCACCCGTTGCACATTTTATCATCTTTAGTATTTTATAATTTACCCATCTCTGTGTTTAAATCTGTACTCAAATCGAATCCAAAGGTATTCATCATTGCTTTGAGCTCTTTTGTATTATGTGGGGCAGTGTCTTCTTTGGGACTAATAACAAATCTGGTAATTTGCTACCAGAAAACAGGCATATAAATATGTTTAACGTGCAGTGATTACTGCAGTAGCCAAGCAACCCCGCAGTAGCTAGGTAAAACCGGTTGCTGGTAGTAAAACCGGTAGCAACCGGTTTTACCGGAGTTTGGGTTCAATTCCTATAACAAATTATATTTTCGGACACGCACCCATGACACAAGCGAACAAACTATAATGTTCGCTTGTGTGTATGAGAATGTTGCGTGTATGAGACTAAATTAAAAAAAATAATGAATGATATTTTATATAAATCTACATGATGAACGCGATTAATCACATTCCATCATCCCAGGCAAGGCAAGGCGAATCCAAGGCAACGCTAGTAATTTGCTCACAGCTAAGTATACCCGATTATATTATTTACATTCAGTCGTCATTCTCAGTTCAGGTATTCTTGTGGAATCATTTTGGAAAAAAACGCCTTCTAATAATAAAACACTTTTTTATATAATGAGGATTGAGGATACTTGACTAGTTTCAAACCACGACCGGGACTCAGTACACGCAGTTATGCATATAAACTAGATTAACATAGCTAGCGATAGTTATAATTATAACAAAAAAACAACCAAATATAAAAACATTTGAATTTCAGTTTGATATGTTAACAGTTATAAGTCTATACGTCCTTGTTTTGGTGGCGCTACTGGCGCCTTGTAATACTTTTCATAAATATCATTCCACAATTGTGCTCGTTCCCCAAGAAATGTTCCATTTCCTAAATCAATTGTTTTTCCAAAAGACATATATGGGCTGCCATCAGCACCAGCCGCTGGCCAGGCGGGCAGAGACGATCCTTGCGGTATAGGTGACCTGGAACATTAAATATTAACATTAGTTAGGTAGTTCTACGAAGTCGTCGAAGTTACTTTTGTATTCGAATTATTTATAACACTGCCGCTGTGCAGTGTTATTCGTGAGTCTTTAATCAACTCGTCTCCTAATACTGCAGAGCGAGCTCGCTTATTGGCTGTGGGAGAATGGGAATCAGGATTGTGGCTTCAGGCACTCCCGTCACCCTTCATAGGTTCTATGTTGGATGACATAATGTTCCGCCTAGCTGTATGCCTACGTTTAGGTGCTCCTTGTGTTTCTCCGCATTATTGTCACTGTGGAGAAAGAGTCGATGGCTTGGGACACCATGGTCTTTCTTGTTGCAGAAGTGCAGGCCGCATAGCTCGCCATGCCAGCATCAACGACATCATTCGTCGTGCTCTTGCCTCAGCCGGTGTACCAGCCGTATTAGAACCTAATGGTTTGGTACGTGATGACGGCAAAAGACCAGATGGTATGTCGTTGCTGCCTTGGAAGATGGGTAGGCCTTTGGTGTGGGACGCGACTTGTGTAGACACCCTTGCGCCATCACATCTTTTAAGCACCGCTGCATGCGTTGGTGCGGCTGCTTCCGCGGCAGAGGCCCTCAAACGGCGTAAATATTCAAATCTAGTGGGTAACTACTGTTTTGAGCCGTTTGGGGTCGAAACACTTGGGCCATGGGGTCCCAGTGCACACTCTGTGTTTAAAGACATCGCCCGTAGGCTAATCGACTCTACACGTGACCAGAGGGCTGGCTTTTTCTTCGGACAGAAAATAAGCATTGCCATTCAACGTGGCAATGCTGCCAGTCTTCTGGGAACTTTCCCCTGTGATAGTGATGCGGACGAATACTTTGACGCCTAAATTAAGGGTATAATTTTTGTTGTTTTCTTTTACTTTCTTTTTATTTAATAGTTTAGTTGTAGTTAATTTAAGTTGTAAATATTTATGTAGTTATATAAATTATGATATTTAAATAAAAATTATTTCTTAACCCTCTTTTTCAAGTCTTATTAAATTATTGAATTCAATCCTTGATTTTAAAATCCTTACTAGTATTACAAATTGGAAAGTGAGTTTGTTTGTTTGTTCCGATTTCACGCCGTAACTATTAAACCGATTGCTTTGAATTTTTACAGATGTAAAGTTAGAAGTCTGGATTAAATAATAGGGTACTTTTATACCGGAAAAATTTGATATTCCCAAGAGAAAACAAAAGTATTGGTATAGATGGCGCTGTGTGTATTGGTATATGTCACATAGGTTACTTTTTATCCTTTTGTGACGCGAGCGAAGCAGCGGGTAAAAGCTAGTATTCAATATATCTTACCTATGTACTGCGAAGTTGTACCAAATATCTCTAATTGTCGATTTCATTTGTTTATACTCTTCTGATAATTTACTCTCATCGGCGGATACGAAAGGTATTCCATCAAGTAGTGCTCCTGTCTGAGCACAATGTCCAGCTCCGCGCACGTCGGTATGAGGAACTACAGGAGTACTGTCCTCCACGAAGGAATATTCATATAAATATATTTGATCATGTCCGGCTTCTACGTGCAGTTTTACAGATCTCCATGTTGGAAAGTTTATGATAATATCTCCGAAATAGTCAATATAAGACAATATTGTATTATCGCCTACCGGCTGATCTCCGAAATAAAATTCCTTAACTTTTTTACTTACTTCCTCTTTTTCTTCCTCACTTGGAAATTGTAAATCACCGGGCAAGAAGTCGGAAAATTTTTCGTTCATAACATCTTTCCACAAATCAAAATTATGTAGTTGACATGTTCCTTCCATATTGGCGATGCCAATTAAAGTAGGGACTTTTTTATATTTACCCTTCTTGATTATGTTTACTGGATAATCGGTGAACATTGATTGATCATCTGTATCGTTTTCCATACACGGCGCAAACAAAAATGTTGCATTTTGCCTGGTACCAAATGAACCCACTATAATTGATTTCAAAGAAAAATTCTTATAAAATTCTTCTAAAGCCTTAAAATCATCTACATCTGTAAAGTTTAACATTCTAGCGTAAGTTTTGGCATTATCAAGTGGATCTAACTGAAAAGCAGCAGTTGATACATCAACCCCACTTTCTGGTATGACTTTGGTGAAAAGTCCTTCCGCTGACTTTGACAGCGTCAACAATTGTGTAGACATGCTGCCAGCACTACCGCCTGATACAGTAACATCATCAGGGTTGCCTCCAAAATTAGCAATATTTCTCTTCACCCAGCGAAGTAGAGCCACTTGGTCCTTCAGTCCAGCGTTACCTGGAGCGGTTTTTGAGCCCAGACACAAGAATCCGTGTACTCCAAGACGGTAGTTGAAATTAACAACAATAATTTTCTTAGTTCTTACAAAGTTTTTAGGCGATATCATGTCACCATATCCAATTTCAAATCCTCCTCCGTGTATGATTACTAATACTGGAAGGTTCTTTTCTTCTGTGTCGGGGACAAATACATTTGCAATGAGACAATCTTCTTGCATATTTGTAAAAGTTAAATCCATTAATTGAGTGTTTGCTTGCCAGCATACTATCTTCTTGTCCACAGCAACAAGTGGTTCCTGCCACACCGGTCCTGGCAGGGGAGCCTGAAATTATATATGACCAAATTATCATACACAGCCGTATTTAATTGTTTTACTATTTTAATCTGGTATGCCACTTATTTTTTTTTTCACCTCATGATTTAATAAAGTGAAAGTGTAAGTGATCTAGTAAGTTCTTAAACTGTCAAACAGTGTCAGACACCGGTGATCGCAACCTATTGTTCTTTAATTGTGTCAATAATGATGGTACTCAAAGGGTTAATTTAGAAAAATCTGTATGTAATTAATTTTGGTAAGTATCGTTTGCCGGGTTATTGAGATAAATATTTACTCATCATGAAGTTTTTTGGTAATGTATTGCGTAATATTTACCATTGGTATAATGTTAAATGTTACACAATACTCCGTTAAAGCGCGATTTGTGTCAAATACTCAAATCGGCGACACAAAATAACGCTGTAGAGTGCATAGCATAATGTTATGAAATATTCTATGCGATATGAAAATATTTCAAATCAAATCAAATCAAATCAAATCATTTATTTGCATAAAATGTAGGTGTTTACAAATAAGTTGTTACAGATATAATATAGTAGCCGTATACATTTTGCCCGTTTATTGGCATGCAAAATATGGTGAAAAAGCTGTCAGATTTAATATAATAGCAAGCAATAATTAAGGTTTACAAATTCAATACAAACAATAATAACAATGTCAAGAAATACATAATATTAAAATAATGTCAAGAAATACGTAATGTTAAAATTTATCAATTAGAAAGTCTGTTGTTGAATAATAACATTTGTCAATGAGAATTTTCCGTACAGTCCTTTTAAATTGATTTAAATTGAGTGATTTTACATTGTCTGGTAGCTTATTATATAACAGTTGTGCCATGCAAAGAAAACTTTTATTCATGAGGGCTGTTTTGCCATAACGAACCTCGAGTTTTAATCTGTTTTTATCCCGTAATTTCCTATAGTCACTTTTGAAAGCAACTGTGTATAAATCTTTGTTGGTTCTGACGTAAGTTAATGTTTCATATATATAGAGTGATGGAAGTGTCATTAGTTTGAGGCTCTTAAAATACGGTTTACAGCTTGTTGTGCAATCTATACTACATATTGCTCGAATACACTGTTTCTGTGCTCTAAACACAGTATCTTTATTAACAGAGTTACCCCAGTATATTATTGCGTATCTCAATTTTGAAACAACGTATCCATGATAAGCATTCAATACGGCTTCACGATTGACTACTTTTGTTAATTTGCTCAGAGCATAGGCAGAGGTATTTATTTTCCTGCAAATTTCGTCGCAATGGGTCTTCCACGAAAAATTGTGGTCAATATTCAAACCTAAAAATTTGGTAGTATCAGTTGAGGTAATTGGTTCACCTTGGTAATTAACGTCGATGTCTTTAATTTGTGCTCTTTGTCGAAAGTGTATAATTTTAGTTTTTTGTATGTTAATTTTTAAATTATTATATGTCAACCATTCAATTATTAATGTCAGAGTATTATTAATGTCAGCTTCATAATTGTCAAAGTTTTCACATTTAATTGTGACGGTACTATCGTCAGCAAATAATACAAAAGGATGTCCAACATGTTTAGGCATATCATTAATGTAGAGTAAGAAGAGGAGTGGGCCTAAAACACTCCCTTGTGGAATCCCGAATTTAACTATTGCTGTATCTGATGTGTATTTTATTTCTTTCTTTAGTTTAGGACAAATTTGTGTAAGTTCAGTAAATTGTTTTCTATTAGTAAGGTATGACTGAATTAGATTTGAGATATTACCCCGTATTCCATATGAATTTAGTTTTTTGAGCAAGTTTTTGTGATCGACGCAGTCGAAGGCTTTGCTCATATCCATGAAGATGGCACATATAGGATAGTTTCTATCCATACTAGAAATAATTGGTTCGATAAATTTATGTATGGCCAAATTAATGCCTTTTCCTTTGCGAAATCCATATTGTTCATCAGTTAATATTCTATTTTTTTCTAAATATATATATAATGCTTTGTATATTATTTTCTCGAATATTTTTGATATGATTGGGATTAATGCAATTGGCCTATAGTTTGTCATTACAGTTTTATCGCCCTTTTTGTGTAATGGTGTTATAATCGTAGTTTTGAGCTTATCTGGATAGATGCCTTGTATTATAGAAAGGTTTAATATGTAACTAAGGTGAGGTGAAATAGATTGGGCTACAGCCTTTATCACTTTAGTAGATATTTCATCATACCCCATACTATGCGTGTTTCTTAAACATTTGATTTCCTTTGCAATGTCTTGTGGTATTGTAGGGTTCATAAACATAGACGTAGTGCTTGTTTCCTGTATGCGGAATTTGTTATTGGCTAAGTTCATTTGGTCAATTGAATTACGGGTTGGCAGTGCGGGATTAATAAAGTATTCATTGAAATTGTTTGCTATTAAGATTGGATCCGATATTTTTTTATTATCTAAGTAAATGTCAGTTATTGGTTCTTTTGGGTAGTCAAATTTTTGATTATTAATAACAGTCCACGTGGCCTTAGATTTGTTATCCGCATTTTTAATATAATAGTCGTTTTGTGATTTTTTGGTCAAGGCGATTATTCTTTTAAATCTAGACGAGTAGTTTTTAAAATTACATCTGTTCTCAATAGTTGGGTTTTTGTAATATTTCCATAGTAATATTCTCTTCCTTTTACTACATATTTTAATACCCTTTGAGATCCATTTCTGTCTTACTTGTAACCTTTTAGTGATTACCGTGTATGGAAAGCACAGATTGTAAAAAAACAGAAAAAGATCTATAAACCTATCATAAGCCTCGTTTGTGTCTTGGGTCAAATAAATTTCAGAGAATGTCAGGTTACCTATGCAGTTTTTAAATTTTTCGATGTTTTCCTCACTGTAAACACGTCTTTTTATATGCCATGATGTTAGAATACAAGTTTTCCTTACTGGGCATTTCATTATTTGTGCAGCGTGGTCTGAAAGACCGAAATCTATTATTTCCCCTTGGCAGCCCTTGACATTATGGGCGATGTTATCCAGACATGTCTTACTTATTGGCCTTGTGGGTTCATTGAATAACAGTTTTAAATTATGACCCTTTAAATAATATTGAAAGTCAAGACTTGATCGAGTTTTTACTAATATATTAATATTGAAATCTCCACATAAGATCACTTTAGAATTTACTTTAGTATTAATATGACGCAAAATAAGATCCAGCTTTTCATAAAACATGTCTAGATTTGAGCCAGGTACTCTATATACGCAAATTAATATAACCTCATGTTCAACCAGCCTCACCGCACAACATTCTATAACATTCATTATACAATAATTGCCAACATTCAATACAGAATATCTATGGCCAGATCTCAGCAAAATACACGCACCACCTCTTTTATTACATCTAGAGCAGCTAGTAGCTAGTCGGAAATTCGGGATATTTAACAACGTTTCGGTAGCGGGTGTCATGTAATGTTCCGTTATGCATATTGCATCAAATCTACGTTCATCTGTCTCCAGAGCCTCCAGATGTACCAACAAAGCATCAGATTTATTCAATAAGCCAGCTATATTTTGATGCACTATGTTGATATACTTATAAAAGAAATAACTTGGGGTTTCGTCCATTTACTTCAACTAAAGGTGTAGAGGTATTGGCAATGTTATTCTCATTTATCGTTAGGGGCTGTTGGTATGGATAAATTACAAAATCAACTAAAAATTCTTCCATTATGTGTGTGTAAATTTGTTTTATTCCATACTTCGTAATGTTTCCAGTACGGTTTGAAAACATGTCCAAAGTAAGTCTACGGTTTGTGTCATATAAGTATGCATAATCATTGTTCAGTATATCTAAGCGCAATAAGTTATTAAACATTTCGACCCTGTAGTTGTATATTGGGGCTCCTAATTTATAAGTTGGAACACATAATATTACATTAGTATGAGTTATCTCTTTTAAACATTCTTTTATGTAGTTCACTAGTTCCAAACAACTGTTATTTGCTGCGAAATCCTTTTCTCCTATGAAAACCAGGCAGTAGTCCTGCATGTCAAAATTAACTACTTTGCTTTTAATATTTCTAAATAGGTCTTTAATTTCACAATTTGGCGAGAGATAGTGTCAATAATTGAAATGAGGCGCAAATATGTTTTCCATATAGTTTAATGTGCCTTTTGAGTTGTTGCTATTACTTAAAATACACAGTTTTCTTTTTGGTGTCGGTTGTTGCCTCACAGGTGAGTTCTTTATGTGTGTCTCTTCTTTCTCTTTGTCTTGTCGATTCGTAGAAGTAGAGTTAAGTTTTAATTGTTTTGAGACTGGCTCTGTACTGTCCAATCTGCGTTTTTGCCTCTTACTTGCGGATCGTATTATGTTTTGTGTCGGGGTAAACTGAATCTTTTTATAGTTTTCTATGATTTTCTGACTGTAGTCTAAATCTGATTTTAATTTTAGATTTTCAGACGAGAGATTTTCTACTTCTTGGTGCGCACAAGCTAATTCATTTTTCAGCTTAATAATTTGGTTATTTAAATCTCTGTAGATTTCATTTTCATTCAAAGTGTTTTCCGGTAGGCTTATTGCCGTTGTTTCAAACAATGAAGAGTTCGATGAGTTTGTAGATTCGATAAAAGAACTAGTCCTAAGCCTTCGATGTGTTACATAGTCGGAATCCATAATACTTGTTTTTATTTATTTATTTGATATAGTTACTGGCAGAGCCCTCTATATTCGAACAGCGTGAAATATCGTATTGTATTATGAAACATGAACAATTAGCATCGATCTGGATAACGAACAAGTTCAGCTACTTGTCCATAGATGTCGTCAGAAGCAAATTCGAGATCCATTCATATATAGTTGTGCCATCTATTAGCCAATTATTAACAACTTTCGTAAGAATCAGATAAATTGCATCTCAACCTAGTTCGGCTATTCGATCATAGATGTCGCTGGGGTTTGTTAATAGGTAGTTACGAAGAATGTGCTTCCATCTATGTAGTAATTTGTGGCAACTAAGAAATAATAACGGCTGCAATTTAAATTATTGTAGTTCGGCTATTTCACACTAGTGGCGTCAAATTGAAATTGTTTTCTTTGTTCGTAGATATTTGTCATTTACTGTGATAGTGAATTGTCACTTACGTATTTCACTTGCAGTATATTTGTAGTTAATTCTTAGCACCGAATATTCGCCTTTCGTCACAGTTCTACGTTCAGAAGCACATAAATATCTATTAGGTTGTACAAGCTGTTTGTTTAGTTAATACGTTTATTTAGGAATAGATAACGTTTGTACACTTTTATATAGGTATTAATGTCACGTATTCACATTTTTACACACTGCTGCTACATTAATTTAATTTATATAGTTTATTTAAATTTAGACTGACAGAAGCAATGTTTACTTTACAGCGCCCTCTAGCGGATTTTCGTAACATTAAACCAAACATGGTAAGTACTATTATTGTTATCTATTGTATATTATGTTATAATATTTTGTTTGTTTTAGTTAATTACTAAGTTTTAGTAAAAGGAATTTTTTACTTGTGACCAAAAAAATATAATGCGAGTTACTTTTTTGTTTATCAATGGCCATCAGTGTAATATGATTGTTAGTGCGATCACCGAATTTTTTTTATTGTATAAAGTGTACAATATGGCACTTTTTTACTTCAAAGTGCTATTTTTATGGCGTAATGTTATGTGATGATTGTACCTCAAACAATCAAAACAGTTCACAATACTATTGGCATTTTCATTACTACTTCTATTAGAATTTGGCAACAATTTACTGAACTTAATTGTAAAATTCAAAAAAGTACTATATAAAGGGTACCTTATACTTATCGGGTCCTGTAGGTACTGTAGCATACGGTATATTGTAAAAGCTGTACAGTCCACCATCAGGGTCCTTGCGTCCGTGCACATCTCCCTGCGCGGTATGCACCTGTCTCCATTCACTCGCATCACACTGATTCAGTACTACCACCAATAGAACAATAAATGCCGGCCGCATACTTGGAGTATATTATCAGATTGTATCAATATTAATGAAATTACGCTGACGACTTAGCGCGGTCTGTCTCACCTAAACACTGAGGTGAGATCAACAGACATTATGACACTACCCTTCCCCCCTCCCACAACTTTGTTTATGTCCTGCGCTCGTCTAATCCAAGGCTGTCATAGGTCAGCGTTCGATATGACGTCAGAATAACTTATTGTCATATATGCTGTCATTTTATTTATCAAGACTTCTCTATTACTAAAGGCTTTTGAACTCGAATACTTTTTTGGTTATTACCTAATGACGTCATACGAATTAGTTCATTACAAAAACTTTATTTTAGTTCCGATAAAAAGTGTGTTTAGTTTATGCTAAATGACGACAAACAGAAATACTAATACGCGTGACGTATTTATTGGGATTTCATATTATATTTTCAGCAGTTATAGCCTAGCCCTGAAGCCCGTCTGGGTGTCATCACTGCGAGGACCGCCCTGAGGATACGGTGGAACACACAATAGGGGAATACCTTGCGTGAGCTGGGCACCGCCGTGCCCTCAGGGAAGTGATCGGCGATGGCGACCTCTCGCGTCCGAGCCTAGTGCGGTCATGATGCGGCGCGAGGGGGACTGGGATGCCGTCTCCTCCTTTTGCGAAGCAGTCATGCTAGCTAAGGAAGAGGCAGCGAAGCGCTGCCTCCTCGCAACCCAGCCATCGCGAAGAACACACCGGGCGTCGGGGATCGCGAGACGATCTCCGGCCACCGTAAGCGCGGGCCTGGGGACGGCGAGCATGGGTGGCCCCGTCCGACCAGAAACAGACCCGAGCGTACGGCGCGTTGCGTTCCGCGCGCCTCAAAGACCCATCAGACCACCACAAATGGGGCCCGACAGGGCCGATGCTGATTCGGAGTCGCGGAGAGCCTAACGGGTAACCGGGGTTCCGGCTCGACGTGCAGGAGAAGGAACGGGGTGGTTTTTAGTCAGTAAGAGTCTGACTCTCCCTCCCGCCTCACACAGGTGGGAGCAGTCATTCGATGATTTCCCCCCTTAAAAAAAGCCCTGAAGCCCCAGTGGAGTACTGAAAAGATTCAAGGTGGATCAGAACCACAACGGCCTCAGAATATCACACTGAAATACTCCTCGCACTATCCTTACAAGTCTTTCACTCCCTTGGATTTGCCTATATCCTGGATAGCAAAGCACTCCTCTATCTCATACATGACAGCAAGAAGTAGAATCGTATCTACATTATAGTACTCCAGCGGCATGACATATTTGGCACAGAAACATCGGTTTTTTATAGTCTATAGAGGTACAAGCAACGTGTAGACAAGTCTTTTCGGGACCAATGAACCTGCTGGTCCATGACAATAGAAATAAGAAGTAGCTTCTTAGTTCCACGAGACCCATTCCTTTCCAATTCATTTTGAGAGACAGACATCACAGATATGAATAGATCATTTTTTAATATGTTTAGCTAGTTTTGTTCTTAAAAAAAGAACTCCACAGTAGTAACGTTTTAAATACTGAAACACAACTACCAAGTTAACATTTAATAAGCTTAAGCGTAAATATTAACTGACTATTTCATTTTAAGTTGCACTTAAATATCGTGCGATCTCTACGATTTTACAAAGAGTTTGAAGTGACAGAACTATTATTGAGTATTTAACAATTATTCTAATGAAGGTAGATACACGTTTGAGTACAAAAATAATTTTTCTTATAACATTTTTTTTACATTAACAGTACTCCTGAATGTTCAGTGTTATTGAATAAAGTTACTCCTGACAGATAAAACATAAAATTCACAAAACCAAATACTTCTATTTTCTACAACTTCCTAGTCGTTTAATAGTTTGTCAATATATTACAGATTCACAAACAGAAATACTACCTCTGTTCCAGTTATATTTCTTACTTAGTACATAATATTCGTTTGAAAGTAATTAGAAATCATTTTATAAAAAAGCCTTACAACAGTAGTAGAATATATTTTTAATAATATTAGGATGCTCGACTAGTTTCAAGTCACTAATGGGGTTCATATTCACGAACAGGATACGCGATATAACTTTGATTAAAATATTTAACAGTTATAACTCTATATGTCCTTGTTTTGGTGGCGCTACTGGCGCTTTGTAATACTTTTCATAAATATCATTCCACAACTGTGCTCGTCTCCCGAGATATGCTCCATCACCTAACTGAATTGTTTTCCCAAGAGACATATAAGGACTGCCATCAGCATTTGTCGCTGGCCAAGCAGGCAAAGACGATTTTTGTGATATAGGCGACCTGGAACATTTGATTTCAACATTAGTTACTGTTATGCAGTCGCTGATATGTTAAATAGCCTGTCTAATTTACGAATACTGTTTTGCCCTCGATGGCACTTTTTGTTCCTCGCTTTCGAATCAAAAATATCTTATTAAACTTTTAACGTTAACATTTTAATATAAGAGAAGTTGTATCAGATTTAAAAATAATATCTTATTTCTTACCCATGCACTGCGAAGTTATACCAAATATCTCTAATTGTCGATTTCATTTGTTTGTACTCTTCTGACAATTTACTCTCATCGGCGGATACGAAAGGTATTCCATCAAGTAGCGCTCCTGTCTGAGCACAATGTCCAGCTCCGCGCACGTCGGTATGAGGGACTACAGGAGTACTGTCCTCCACGAAGGAATATTCATATAAATATATTTGGTCGTGTCCTGCGTCTACATGCAGTTTTACAGATCTCCATGTTGGAAAGTTAATGATAATATCTCCGAAATAGTCAACATAAGACAATATTGTATTATCGCCTACCGGCTGATCTCCAAAATAAAATTCCTTAACTCTTTTACTTACTTCTTCTTTTTCTTCCTCACTTGGAAATTGTAAATCACCGGGCAAGAAGTCGGAAAACTTTTCGTTCATAACATCTTTCCATAAATCAAAATTATGAAGTTGGCATGTTCCTTCCATATTACCGACGCCAATTAAAGTAGGGACTTTTTTATATTTACCCTTCTTGATTATGTTTACTGGATAATCGTTAAACATTGATTGACTATCTATACCGTTTTCCATACACGGAGCAAATAAAAGAGTTGCATTTTGCCTATTAGCAAATGCACTCACTATAATTGATTTCAGAGAAGAGCTCTTATAAAATTCTTCTAAAGCCTTAAAATCATCTACATCTGTAAAGTTTAACATTCTAGCGTAAGTTTTAGCATTATCAAGTGGATCTAACTGAAAAGCAGCAGTTGATACATCAGCCCCACTTTCTGGTATGACTTTAGTGAAAAGTCCTTCCGCTGACTTTGACAGCGTCAACAAATGTGTAGACATGCTGCCAGCACTACCGCCTGATACAGTAACATCGTCAGGGTTGCCTCCAAAATTAGCAATATTTCTCTTCACCCAGCGAAGTAGAGCAACTTGGTCCTTCAGTCCAGCGTTACCTGGAGCGGCTTTTGAGCCCAGACACAAGAATCCGTGTACTCCAAGGCGGTAGTTGAAATTAACAACAATAATTTTCTTAGTCCTTACTAAGTTTTTAGGCGATATCATGTCACCATATCCAATTTCAAATCCTCCTCCGTGTATGATTACTAATACAGGAAGGTTCTTTTCTTCTGTGTCGGGGACAAATACATTTGCTACGAGGCAATCTTCTTGCATATCTACAAAACTCATATCCATAAATTGGGTTACAGGCTGCAAACATGCTATCTTCTTATCCACAGCATCAAGTGGTTCTAGCCACACCGGTCCTGGCAGGGGGGCCTGAAATAACATATCACCAAATTGTCATATACAACCTTATTTGATTCACTTTGGTGTCTATTCTTACCTTTTCGATCTAAAAGACATAAATATAAATAATACAATGATCCTCACTAACATTAATTCTAAAAACACATCGAATGGACTTAGAAATATGATAACATAGTAAACAATCTAATTAGTCCTCAATAAGTAGATAATAATTTGATTATATCATCTACAAAAAGAGATAATTATTATTTTTATCATGAAAATGCAGGCAATGCCGTCACTACATACATACGTTGATAAATTGATATGTATACATATAAACTGCTTTTACGATTTTACTTTCAATCCTATGATCGACAAAAATGGAACTTGTTTATCCAAGAGTATTTAAGGATGGATGCTGAAATTGGGGCATTGACCCTCAATGTATGTTTACAGTTCGATGACTAATGTGGGATTGATAACAAACACAGTGAACATAAGTATTACGGTGTAATGTTTATATGAAGTAATATGCCTCTTCAATTAAAACGACTCTTGATATTTCTGACATTTTCCTTGTTAGTTTAAACTGTCAAACACCAAGCGGTCACCGGTGACCGCAACCTATTGTTCTATAATTGTGTCTACAAAACCGGTACTCGACGAATTAATTGGAACTTAGTTATAGAATTTTATGAAGGGCATAATTTTCTAAAAGAAATAATACCTTATACTTATCAGGTCCTACAGGTACTGTAGCATACGGTATATTGTAAAAGCTGTACAGTCCACCGTCAGGGTCCTTGCGTCCGCGCACATCTCCCTGCGAGGTATGCACCTGTCTCCATTCACTCGCATCACACTGATTCAGTACTACCACCAATAGAACAATAAATGTCGATCGCATTCTTGGAGTATATTATCAGATTGTAATAATATTGATTATATGTCGGCTTCCGACTTATCGCGGTCTGCCTCACGTAAACACTGAGGTAAGGTCAACATAATGACAACTCCTCTCCCCCTCTCACTTCATTCGCGTCCCGCGCTCGTCCGATTCCGTGGCTAACATTGGTCGGCGCGCACTGTCATTATCAAGGCTTTACTTCGCCTAACAGGTTAAGGCTTTTGAACTTTTTTAGCATTTTATGATACCGCACGAATTTGTACATTACATAAAGCGTTCGCTAATTGAACCCTTATGGTTTTTAATTAAAATAATATAACTTTAAGACTTTCAGCATATTAGAAACACTATTTAACTCTCTCAGTCACACTTTTAACTGGTTACGAATATATTTTATTCAATTATACTGAAATGCTTAAAAACCAATGCAAAGTAATTTGGAGCATAGGTACTTAAAAAATTGAATTTCTAAGAAAAGGTGGTTAGTTACAGTGACCACCAAGACTGAAAGAGTTAAGGGGGAATCCTATTTATTACCCTGCAATCAAGTATCAATTTTGCCTGTCCCGGTAATTGAAATCAAATTCTGTTGCTCGGAAGTGTCAATTGCAACCACTCAAGGACGAGGTAATTTCCTATAACTGCAGTGTAAACGTCAAATAAAATTCATTCGTTATCTCACGATTATATTTTCAAACTTAAAAATAACACATCACTTGGATGATTGTGCAATTTGTGCATAAATGTAAAGTCGAGAAAATAAATTATTATCTATATTATGTACTAAGTCTCATCAATCAATAAAGTATTGATAAAAAACGTAATAAAGATATTATCGTTTCCCGTTTTATCTGACCATTTTGCTCACAGTAGGTAAGATACAATCCGTTTTTGAATATTATCAATAGAAAATACTACGGTAATCCAAATCGATAAGAGCGTGCGCACGTTCGCACCTAATCAGTGAATTACTTGTTATTGATCTTAGTAATTAAAAATTAATCATAACTTTATGAGTACATATACAGTACATGTACATAGGAAAGTATGAACACACGCAAGATATGTAAATATGTCATATTATCTACACTAATTCTTCAGCAGGTTTTACATAGTTTCGATCAAATGTTTTTTTTTTCAATTCACGTGAATCAGCCAGCATTTATGCCATTAGCACAAGATATATTGAAATGGACAAATAAGTCCGAACGCAAACACAGATGTATTTTACTTTATCTTACTTTCACAATCGCAATTCGTAAAAATCCATGACAATTTTACACGTCAATAGAAAACCACAATCACCTCAGGACCAACGGCTTTGTTTTTCTGCCAATAGTAACAGAAATTACTGCCAAAGTCCTACCTCTAAATGACCATAACAATATCAATCAAAAATGTTTCATACTTAGTGTCTATTTAAAAGGAGAAACAAATAAGTTGCTACAAGCATTGTAACATTTGAGATCATCAATGACGTGGCGCTGTTGTCAGGAGTAGGAGTAGCACCCGTGTCTACAATGGGTCCTCGATAATGTTCTTCAAAGATTTCATCCCAAAAAGCTGCTCTCTCTGCAATAGGACTACTGTCCCTCAGCACTATGTCTCGACCCAATGACATATAAGGAGATCTGTGTATACTCGCAGGTGGCCATTGCGAGACAAGATCTCTAGACAATGGTGCACTGAAACAGAAAATTTGTCTATAAGATACTGAGTCACTAGATTAAGTTACTCTAGTTCCCTAATCAAACATTGTACTATATTTTGATTATTACGTGTTGTTATTGGTTAAATATTAGACATGTACAAAGAGACCATGTGCTTAACCCTATTCATATAAACAAGTAAATAATCTTACCCATTCAAAACAAAATTAACCCAATTGTCTCTAACAATTTGTTTAATCTGCTTATACTCTTGCGTTCTATTAGTTACATCTTCATCCATAACTGCTATATACTGGAAGCAATGATCAGCACCAAGTACTTCTGTATGCGGGAAACTGGGAGTGTCTTCGTCCACAAACGAATATTCAAAAAGATAAATTGTATCATCAAGAGCTTCTATACGCGTGGACAGAGCTTTCAACATTGGGTATGCAAATAATACATCAGTATTATAATTTATAAAGGACACAATACTGTGATCACCTACGGAATCATCACCGAAATAAAACCTTTTGACCTTCTCGGCGACTTGTTCCTTAATATCTTCACTGTCGAAATGTAATTCCGTTGGTAGAAAATCGGAAAATTTTTCATTCATTCGATCTTTCCAAGCATCAAATACCGGAAGTCTTAAAGCACCATCCATGTCGGTGAATCCGAACATCAGGGGTATCTTTGAATAGTTCCCTGTTTTCATAATATCCATAGGAACATCTGATACGACTCTTTCTTGTCCTATATCTTTTTCTACACATGGACCAAATCGAACAGTAACTCCTTCATTATTTACTATAGCATCAAGTCGAGAAACCAATTGCTCAAATGAAACAGTTTTATAAAATTCTTCCAAACTATTAAAATCATCAACATTGTTGAAATTCAGTACTTGTGCAAAGTTTTTAGCATTTTGGATTGGATTGATTTGTGCTCCGACACCGCCAATACTGACACCACTTTCCATTATAGCTTTCTTGAACAAGCCTTTTGTAATGCTAGAAAGAGTAAGGAAATCTACCGCACCAGATCCGGCACTGCAGGCGGCTAGAGTTACATCATCAGGGTTACCACCGAAACTGGCAATATTGGTGTTTACCCAACGTAGGAGCGCTACCATATCCTTCAGTCCCGCATTACCAGGGGCAAATTCAGTGCCAAGACAAAGGAAACCATGAACACCTAATCTGTAGTTAAATGTAACCACTATTAACTTCTTGGTTTTTACTAAAGCGTTAAATTCTGAAAGTGTTCCGAATCCTGTTTGATAACCTCCGCCGTGAATGTTTACTAATACTGGCAAATTAGTCACGTCAGTGTCAGGAACATACACATTGGCGACCAGGCAGTCTTCTTGAATATTCATTGATTCTGGCCAAGATTGTGGACAGATTATTTTGCGATCTTCAGCTATAAGCGGGGTCAACCATACTGGTGGAGGGAGGGGAGCCTGGGAGTAGAAACAAATATCTTTAAACACTTTATTCTGTGTTGTTGCAATTACGGAAAATATAATTTATTTCAAATTACCTTGTATCTATTAGACCCTGTCGGAGCAGTCGCATAAGGAATATTATAAAACGCATAAACACCACCTTCAGGCACCATGCGGCCGCGCACTTGTCCCTGAGTAATATTCACGTGACGCCAAACATCATCTGTGTACACCAGATTTACATAAATACAAAATACCAGCACTAGACACTTCCACATGTTGACAAATCTACTAGACAAGTAATAAATTAATCTATTCCAACGAAGTATCTTGTTTTTATATTAACGGTTCTACGTAATCCGATAATCACATGAGAGATAGTGTCAGATGTATTTTGCACCACCTACTTGATGATAAGTAATGTTTTCAATTTGATTATAATCAGTCATTTAAATCTCTATCAATGCACATCATGGCCGAAATAATACCTGCCTGGGAAATTTCCGTTTTGTATGAAAATTTTAAACGAATTATTTTCATGTATTTTTTTTTCTTGTATAAATCGAAGTAATCACCGTATCACAGTATCTTTGCCAACGCAGTAGCAATATATTGATTGCCTGTCTATACTAAAGAAATCAGCTAACAAATTCATAGGTTTATTTTTTTGTATTTTGTACTGCCTCTCGGGTATTGAAGGTTTTCCCGCCAAGAAGTTATCCAAATTCTGGAAAAAGTAAGTCTGGTGAGTAGGGTGGATGACGGAGAGCTTCCAACCCCAGTTCCTAAAGTTGAAGATTGTATGCTGTGCAGTATGAGACTATGAGGTAGCGTTATCGTGCAGGAGCAGTGGAGACGAGCGATTGACCAATTCTGGCTGGAGATGTGCCAGCTTCTCCGTCATAGTGTTCAGTTTTTCACAGTTCACATCTGCAGTAATGCTCCTCCCACCGGCGCTAGACTACCAAACTGTGACCACCACTTTTTTAGGGGTAAGTTATCGTTTAGGATATTGTTTAGGTGCTGAACCAGGATCCAACCAACTTGCTGTGCGTTTGCGGTTATCAGACAGTATTCAGACTTCATCGCAGGTAACAATGCGTTTCAAAATTCCTTCATTTGTGTGTCAGTTGAGCAGTGCAAGGCACGTCTCGACGCGTACTTCGCGCCGACGATCATTGAGTACGTGGGGCACCCAAGTTTTTTTACCTTGTCAATTTGACGCAAACGGACCAATATTGCTTTGACGGTAACGTCGAAAGCTGCTGCTAATATGGCCGTAGATGAGGTATCATCTTATAAAGCTTCCGCATAGCTCACGCAGAACGTAGCGGTAGCGTATAGCTAAATACTTCTATTACACCCTGTATACGATTAAATTCACAATCAGTTACGTGTCATTAAGCTATGACAGTACCGTCTATCTATAGTACAAAAATGTATAATTAAATTATATCGAATGATAAATAAGAGAAAATGGAGTTGATTAGTTAATTATATTTTCGAATGAATATTCATTGATTCTGGCCAAGATTGTGGACAGATTATTTTGCGATCTTCAGCTATAAGCGGGGTCAACCATACTGGTGGAGGGAGGGGAGCCTGGGAGTAGAAACAAATATCTTTAAACACTTTATTCTGTGTTTATCGATACGTTTGTCACGGTTTTACGCCTAAGATGCTAAACCTACAGCGTCCTCAAAGCTGACACGACTAATGCCATCGATTCAATGCGCCCTGATTTTTTGCACTAGAATCGTAGAGTCATAGAAAATAGGGTTTTCTATTAGTTCTACTTAAAATAAAAATAAAAAAGAATAGGCCACCTAGACCAGCCGCGATATACATTTGGACAATGAAAAAGTTCGTATGCATTTCTAGAAAAATAACAAAACACATGAAATAAATAACAAAGTTAGGTGTAAAAGTTATAGAAAGAAAAAGCAAATAAATTATACTCGGAATTTTAATTCGATTCCAGATTTGACAATTTCAGTGTTGCAACGTTATAACAAGTACTAAATAGTGACGTTGCGAAATTATTCGATATGGAAATGCAATATTTCTGGATCGGTTCTTCTCGTTTATAATTTTACTCCCGTAAACTAAGTATATCAGGAAATTAAATATTTCTGAACCGATAATTTAGTTTTGACGATTAATTAACGGTCTGAGACTTTTCTTTTATATTTGTGTGTGAAATAAATAAAAAAATGTAATCATGAAGGAACATGACAAATAAAACAGATAGATGTATTATGGTAATAAGTTATTTTATAAATTGTCGCCGTCACCGCTATCGCTATCCTGTCACTTTCTATAACATTTATTATATAAACAACACACACTGACTGTTTATCGATTTTTGTGTTCATCACTACACTATTATATGTGGTATCATTTTTTCACAAAATGACAGTAGCTATTGTCAAATCTGGAATCTAATTAAAATTCTGACTATAGTAAAAATGTTTATTTCGTAAAGTTCGAGTGATAATGTTCAAAATCCATAACAGACCCAGATCCAGACATACTAATGTATAAAAAATATAAAATTGTCCTTTAGATTAAATAAATATGTATAGCAATATATTGACTGCACGGTTGTCGCACTGGCTGGGCAACTGGCTACCGTGCAACGTGTAGCGGGTTCGATTTCTGCACGGAACAACTCTTTGTATGATCCACGATTTGTCGTTTCAGGTCTGGGTGTGATGTGAACTTATATGTTTGTTAACGCATCCACGACACAATAGAAAATCCTAGTGTGGGGCAAAGTTTTAAAAACAAAATGAAAATGTATATAAAAATAGCCGTTTTTATAAATCTATAATCTAAATTACATCACAGATAATAATTATTAAAGAATAAATAACAATAATGAAACTTCACTTATTAGTATACTTAAACAAATCTAGAACTTATCCGATACGAACTTCGATAAATATTGATCGAAGGATACATAACATTCCACATACATCTTTTTTTTTTTTGGGACAAGCCCGCCACAACCTCCCAAAACCGCTGCAACTCCTGTAAGCCAGGATCTACAGTAGATACAACCATTCCACATACATATCATGATTCAAATTATAACTTATTTAACTTATTTAACAACTCAATCAAATATTTTACCAATATTTTCGACGTCAATATTATTTAACTAAATATAACATTAATATAAGTGTCATCAAAATAATTTTCGAGATCATTATAGAGGAAGCACCGCCAGTATAACTACCAGGCACTAGTGGACCTCGGTAGTGTTCCTCGTAGATGGAGTCCCACAATGCTGCCCTGTCTCCCAAAATATCGTCCCTTAGTTCTATGACAGGACCTATCGACATGTAAGGAGACCTTTTTGCGCTTGTTGGAGGCCATAACGGAAAACGAGCATCACTTGAGTACGGAGAACTGAAAAAAATAATTAAAGTTCTAATCGATTTCAATACTAACATAACATAACATCACACCTTTTATCCTCGAAAGGGTTGGCAGAGGTGCACATTGTGCCACTGTACAATGTAATACCCACTTTTCACTATTTATGTTATGAGTCCCATGTAATAGGGGGTGAGCCTATTGCCATATACCGGGCACAATTCCAGACACCTTGCTACTATTGAGATTTTTTAAAAACCCAGTAGTATTATTTAGACCCCTTGCCCGGCAGTCGCACTTGCGACCACTCGGCCAACGAGGCAGTCAATACTAATTATTATCTAAGAAAATACAAGCGATTATAAAAAGTGAGGAGAAGATAATAATCTTACCCAGTCAAAACAAAATTGAGTGTGTATTCTCTGACGAGCTGCACCATTCGCTTGTATTCTTCCGTTCTACCAGAAAGGTCTTGGTCGCTAACCGCCATTGATTGGAAGCAATGTTGAGCTCCGCGAACATCAGTGTGTGGAAAACTTGGTGAGTCGTCATCCACAAATGAGTATTCGTACAAATAAATTGTGTCACCAAGAGCTTCTACTCGAGCTGACAAAGATTTCAACATTGGATACGCAAATAACACATCAGTAAAGTACAGAAGAAATTGCTCCATGGTGTCTTCACTCACGTCGCTATCTCCAAAATAAAATTGTTTGACTCTGAGGGCAACTTGTTCTTTCTCCTCGTCGTTATCAAAATGCAATTCTGCTGGTAAGAAATCTGAGAATTTTTGATTCATTTTATCTTTCCAGGTATTAAAGTAGCGTAGTCTCATTGCCCCTTCCATGTTAGTAAATCCGTATAACAAAGGAATCTTGGTGTAATTACCACGGTTGATGACATTCATTGGTGCGTCCGTAATAACTCGTTCCTGGCCCATATCTCGTTCCACACAGGGAGCAAATCTAACCGTATTATCCTTATTGTCTACAATTTCATCAACTCGTGAAGTTAACAGTTGAAACGGGGCAGTTCTATAAAATTCTTCTAGCTTTTCCAAATCATCGACATTATCAAAATTCAGCACCTTTGCATAATTCTTAGCGTTTTGGATGGGATCAATTATTACACCAACAGCTCCTGTACTGCTGCCGCTCTCCATGATGGCTTTCTGGAACAGGCCTGTCGTAGCGCTAGAAAGTGTTAAAACATCTACCGAGCCTGATCCTGCACTGCAGGCGATTAACGTGACATCACTTGGATTCCCTCCAAACCTAGCAATATTTACGTTCAACCAACGGAGTAATGCTACCTGATCCTTAATTCCTGCGTTACCAGGAGCACCTTCAGTGCCAAGACATAGAAATCCATGGACACCTATTCTATAATTAAACGAAACTGCTATTAATTTCTTGGTCCGCACTAATTCTCGATATTGATCAGAAAGGCCGTGACCATGTTGGAAAGCTCCTCCATGGACAAACACCAGGACAGGCAGATTAGTGTCTATAGTATCAGGAACAAAAAGATTGACTACCAGGCAATCTTCCTGAGTGTGCTCACGAACGTTGGGTTGCGGACAGCGGATGTTTCTATTTACAGCGTCAAGCGGTGACATCCATACAGGAGGAGGAAGAGGGGCCTGTAAAACATTAAATTCTAATGAAAATGCTCCTAATTTGGTTAAATTATGATAAATCATTTAAAATAATAGTTTGATGCCTCAAAAAGCCAGGATTTCAGCATATAACATATTTTAAAAAATAATAAATTTATCAATTTTACCTTAAATCTGTCAATCCCCGTAGGTGCAGTAGCATATGGAATATTGTAAAATAAATAAAGATCTCCGCCTGGATCCCTGTGACCTCTCACAGGGCCCTGAGTAATATTGACCATCCGCCAGTCTTCTTGGCCTTCCACAAATATTGTGAACAGATAAAATGTCAATATTGACAACCACATCTTTACCAAATGCAATAGAGTTAATGAACATTTCTGCCGTTTCATTGAATAAATAGCTATACCTATCAAACCAATTATTATCTACGAAGATAATTCCAAAATCATCATATTAGAGATCTGTCACGAAAAATACAAGTTTCATAGGACCACGCATAATTATCGATAGCTCTTCAGGTTCTAAAATCGCTTGTTTTTGATCAATACATTTTTTATTATCGTGTGTCGTTCAGAAAAGGGTTAGTGTTCATTTCAGTTTTTAACTACAGGCTGAGTGAAAGATGAGCTTCATCACCACATCATCACCAACTACCTATAAATGCTCACTGCTGAGCAAAGCCTCATCTCACACGGAGAAGGTTTGAAGGCTTGCTCAATGCGGGTTGGCGATTACAGACTTATAATTAGAAATTATAAGCCCAGGTTTCCTTACGATATTTTCCTTCACCGTTTGTCAGTGGTGTCTAGATAATCTTAGAAAGTACATATAACTCGGAAAAAGTCACATTGGTACTTGCATTTGGTAGGTTTCGAACCCGCACCGTCATGCATGAGAATCAGGCGTCTTAAACTGTCAAACACCAAGCGGTCACCGGTGACCGCAACCTATTGTTCTATAATTGTGTCTACAAAACCGGTACTCGACGAGTTAAACCTCCGGGCCACCACGACGACGCAAAACGGAAAGATGAGTTTATTCAATGTCAAATATCTGAAGCTCATCTCCTATTACAATATGGTAAACTGACGATAGAACTTATAAAGTAACTAACGAAAAGTAGCGGTAGGCCAAACTGACTGGCCGTGCACATTTTTGTACCATAGATTATGGTCTATCTCACGGAATCAACTGAATGTTATCAGCCCAATTATTCTCTTTCCTCCTATCTCTTATAAGTGTACTTAAGTTCTTAGCTTAGTCTTATTTGGATTATAAACAGAACCCCAAGTGGACTTACATTAATTGCTAAAGATAAGCAATCTGCAACTAGACACCATTAAATGATTTATTGTTAAAATTCGCAAAAAATATTCGCTTCAAGATTGTTATCGCCCCAACATACCCGTCCCCTGTCTTACTTAAAGCCGTGCTATCACTGCACATTGATAAAACAAAAGCTCATCACCGTGTTTTTCTGTCCGTCGACTAGAACACGAAATAAATGGTAGAAGTATTTCATTCATAATTTGATTGGCTGGTTTCAGTCCACAGATGCCCAGGAAAACTTAGACTTGGTTTTAGTCGACTGGAGACCTCCAGGAAAGCTTACACTTGGTTTTAGTCGACTGGTCTCCAGGAAAACTTACACTGACCTTATAAAGATAGCTGCAGAGTACCTTCCACTATTCAGTCTGCTTTTGTTATTTGATGCTAGAATGTAACAGAAGCTAAAGAAGTATGAAAGAAACGCCTAAGTTCTGTCCTGTAGTTTCTGATCCAAAGCCATAAGTTTATGATTGTCATACAGCGGTTCCATATCAAGGGGCTTTAATGCCCAGTGCAAATTCAGAAGGTAAATATGTATTTTTTCGTATCACAGCCTCCTACGAAATTACTTCTCTGCAGAAGAATACCACCACACCCCATGCATCTACATACAGTAAGATAATGCAATAACTAACACTAACATAAGCATAACCGCGTGAGTATCTATGCTTAAATTTTTATGGACAACAACAATGCGTAATGCCCTGTAACAAACAAAACAATGCCTAATCATAATGATTTATAAAAAATATTATTACTTTATCTTATTCGTGGAGGCGGAATTAACGCAATTAAAGTCGCGTGAAAACGTGAGTGCTAATCAAATTGAGTGACTTCCCAAATAATTAAGTACTTGAAATGATTTTGTAATTAGTTTTTACGTATACATATCAATTAATTATGTCATGCCAGCTATAAGATGATGATTTATGATCATATTTTGTTGCTGATAGTAGTAAATTATCGTGTAACCTCATAAAAGTCATTCATTAAAGTTGTTATCAAGATAACAAAAATATAGGTAGGTACTTTATGATATGAGTGCCCAGGCATGACCACTTTTCACCAGTGATTCTAAATAAAGGCGACCTCAACATCCGATTGGGGTTTGCTTCAATCCTAAACTCGAAATTTAAAAAATAACTTGTTCTCCTTCTCTAATCTCTTGAACCTTGAGTTTGCGACATTAAGGAAAATACATTTTCACTATTTTTTAAAAGCTTCTTGTTAGCATCATCATAGTCATCTTTAACAGCCAATACGCTTCTGGACTATCGGCCTCCTTTACAAGAAAGGGTTGCTCTAATCTTCGCAATGGGCTGCCAATTGCAGTTTACAAGGTCTTTTTATGGGGGGAAAATCATCGAATGATTTCTCCCGCCTGGGTGAGGCGGGAAAGAGTGTCAGACTCTCATTGACTCAAAACCAGCCCGTTCGTACTCATTCCCGTCGAACCGGAGCCCCGGCAACCCGTTAAGTAATCCGCGGCTCCGTATCAGCATCAGCTCAATTGGGCCCCATCCATGATGGTTTACAAGGTGTGGCGTGTCAAAGATGACTACGCCGTAGTTGGCTTTACACGACTTTCAGTCACCAGCACCCCGCTGGCTAGCCTTTTAGTAAAGGGTGTCTGCGTTCAAAATGTCCTCGTCGGCCTGATGAGCCTAAAGCCAAAAATTCCTTATGATAGAGGGACTAAGTATATGGGTTTTTATACTTATTATATGAGTATTATCGATTAGTAACAACTTAGTAAGCTGCAGTTACCGTTACCTAAGTAGCTGCAACTGCAATATTAAAGGTATCATAATTGCATCGTGGACCATTTAGGTAACTATAAAATTTCACCAACATATCCAGAAAGGACGGCTCTCCGAAAATGATGGCGCAATCAAACAGCAACTTTCTTGTTTATTATCGAATAACCGATTTTATCTAATTCACATCAAATATCTACTTATAGTTGAAAAATAGAAACATTAGAATTGATAAATTTGGTTTTACCAGTCAAAACAAATGAATAGACGGATTAATAGATATCGCTTTTTATCTTTGTTATGAATATTTTACGTCTTACTAGTATTACGTGATGACGGTAGATGTCGCTAGATACATTTTTTAAGTTAGTAGACCACGTGGTGTAATCATAAATAAAAATTTTGTGCTAACTTTCAATCGACTCCGATTAGGAATGAGTACTAGCCATCTAATTAGAATTAATACAGCCCGTTGATTTTCTGATATTGTACTTTAAAAAAAATTGTGAAAAATTTATGCAATCGAGAAAATCTAAATTAAAACTCTTTCAAAATGTGAGGTTTAGTTAACCGACTTTATAAACACATACATAACATCACGCCTTTATCCCCGAAGGGCACTGTACAATGTAACACCCCCTTTTCACTATTTATGTTATGAGTCCCATGTAATAGGGGGTGAGCCTATTGCTATATACTAGGCACAATTCCAGACTCCGTGTTGATAATTTTTTAAAACCTATAATTATTTTGCCCGAGCTGGGAATCGGGCCCGAGATGTGAGTGTGCGTGGGAATTGCACAAACTTATTCCCCCTAGTCCATTTCACCACCGTACCACCAGAAGAACGGCGGGGCGCCACTCTTATATGGGGGACATTCCACCCATTCGCACGAAGCGTTTTGCGTCAAGCTTCCTCATGCGAATCGCTAAGGAATGGAATTCCTTGCCAGAAGCTGTGTTTCCCGTCAAATATGAGTTGGGTGTCTTCAAGTCCCGAGTGAACAGGTTGCTCATAGGTAGGCGTGTTCCAACGTCGGCCACATGATCGCTTACCATCAGGCGAGATGGTGATCAAACGTCGACCTATAAAGTATAAAAAAACCCCTTGCCCGACAGTCGTACTTGCGACCACTCGGCCAAAGAGTTAGTCAAAGCTAGGCACATTATAAATAGTACACATACATATGTTTACAAGCATAATTTATTAAATAAAATCAGACGTATGTATACACTTAACTTAATTCAAGTACAAAGTAAAATAAAAAGATAACAATAGAGACACGAAAATGATGTTTGACATAACTAATGAAGAGGCAGCGCCAGGAGCAGGAGTAGGAGTAGGAGTAGTAGTAGGAACGGGATCCATGTCTACAATGGGACCTCGGAAATATTCATCGAAGAGTTCATCCCAGAAAGCTGCTCTCTCCGGAATAGGACTGGAATCCCGCAGCACTATCTGTCGACCCAAAGACATGTGAGGAGACCTTTGAGCATTCGCAGGCGTCCAAGTTGGCAAACTTGGGTCACTAGATGATGGGTAACTGAAACAAATACATTAATTAAATCAGTTACCAAAAGTTTATGCATTAACATTAAGGGAGGCATATGTAAGTTATATGAACAATATCATGAATTATTTTAAAATCTCAGACACAGTCGATGTAGTATGCAAGTTCCTGTGTATTGTGTATTCAGTTTGTATTGAAGAAACATAACATGATGAACTTGAAACAATCAAGATTCTCACCCATTGGAAATGAAGTTCATCCAATAATCTCTCATAATTTCTTGCATTCGCTTATATTCGTTTGTAGCAGCAGTTACATCTCCATCTGCGACAATCATTTCTTGAGAACAATGTCTCGCCCCAATTTCGTCAGTTTGCGGAAAACCTGGAGAATTTTCATCTACAAAAGAGTATTCAAACAAATATATCGGATCTCCGAGAGCTCCCACACGAGTTGAAAGGGTTCTTAGCATTGGAAATGCAAACAATACATCAGTATTATAATTAAGGTAAGATACAAAATTATGTTCGCCCACAGGACTGTCCCCGAAATAAAATTGTTTCACCCTCTGGGCAACTTGCTCTTTAACTTCTTCACTGTCAAAATGAAATTCTGATGGTAAAAAATCTGAAAACTTTTCATTCATCATTTCTTTCCAAGTGTCGAAGACACTCAACCTCACTGAACCATCCATGGTAGTGAATCCATACATCCGAGGTACCTTCGTATAGTTCCCTCGTGACAATATATTCATGGGAGTATCTGATATAAATATTTCTTGTCCTAAGTCTCGTTCTACACATGGTCCAAATCGTGAAGTAACGCCTTCATTATTTAGTATGGCATCAGTTCGTGAAATTAATTGCTGAATGGTAACACTCTTGTAGAATTCTTCTAAACTATTCAAATCGTTGACATTATCGAAGTTAAGTACCGTGGCGTAATTCCTTGCATTCTGGATAGGATCAACTTGAGTTCCAACAGCACCGATAACAGTGCCGCTCTCTTGTATAACCTTCTTAAAAAGACCTTCCGTAAGGCTAGAAACAGTGAGGAAATCCAACGAACCAGATCCTGCACTACATGAAGATAAAGTTACATCATCAGGATTACCTCCGAAACTAGCAATGTTTGTGTTTACCCAACGCAGGAGTGCTACCATATCCTTCAGTCCTGCATTACCAGGAGCAGCTTCAGTGCCAAGGCACAGGAAGCCGTGCACTCCTAATCTGTAGTTAAAAGATACTGAAATTTTTTTTTTACTTTTTACTAACTCAGTAAACTTTTCTTGTAAACCAAAACCAAATTGGTAAGCTCCACCGTGCACATACACATGTACAGGTAAATTAGCTTCGTCTGTATCGGGAACAAACACGTTGACCACCAGACAGTCTTCCTGGACATTCATAGTTTGTGTGACAAAGTGTTGAGGACATATAATCTTGCGATCTTCAGCTTCAAATATTGTTAGCCATGTTGGTGGAGGACGAGGTGCCTGCACAAAATTATTAAACGTTAACAAGTACAGTACTTCGATTTAATGTGAAAGTATTTATTTTCTTGTAGAATTGTATAACAACGCCATGATTTAAGTCAACAAGTATGGAACTAAAATGGCCACAGAATGTTTTCGTATTCTAATCATAGTCTCAAATGATTGAAGTTTTGTAAAAAATATAAATAAATTACCTTATATCTGTCAGCTCCAGTTGGGGCAGATGCGTATGGAATATTGTAGAATCCGTAGACCCCTCCACCGGGGAGCAGACGGCCGCGCACTGGTCCTTGCGCTGTACTTACAACGCGCGAATCATCGGCCAGGACAATTGCTAAACAGCAAAATAATAGCACCACCAACTTCCACATATTGGATGGCCTACTGCACTCTCAATAACAATAGAGGTGACTGAGAAATATATTACCTCCCCTCCCATTACTATCGGTGATTTATAATAATTAATAAAGATAAAGTTAAATTCAATCATTTAGTCAACCTGAAAAATATCGTTGTTAATCAGTGCTATCTCAATCAAATTCGGTTTTTATTTAGATATCAATGATTAAACTATTTCTAGTAATTACAATGCATTATTTAGTTATGTCCGGATTGAGGAAATCGTGACTATGGTATATTATGGTAAACATAAACATTATCAACATTTCGAGACAATTCACTGCTGGATTATGGACCTCCTGTACGGTGACCAGCAATTCAACCCTAACTTTCAGCTTTTCTCTATTACATCACTTTACAGTATTGACATAAAGTCGAAATGCCAATGAATTAATTGGACAGACTGGGGTAGGTTGATCTGTTGGCCACAGAAAATTGCAATTAAATAATTTCACGTTCATCAGAAACCGCCGCTGCCCTTTTGCCCTTTGTCAAACCTGTAGGTCCTTAATCAGTTTTTACGACATCAGTAGTAAAAATAGAGATGATGAACATATTCTACTTTACCGTCATCATGTCGTTAAACAACGCAATCGGAAATTCTTTGTTTTATCACCCTAAACAAAAACTCCTCATAATACTGCTCTGTGTCCCAAAACATCATCCCTCAGATCTATATATTACAGGAATTTTAGAATTGATAAATAAATACCTTAATGGCTTAGCAATCAAAACAAACGAATACAGACCGATATCACTTAAATCTTTGTTTTGAAAATTAAGACTTACAAGTTTTAGATGATGACGATAGATGTCGCTACATGCTCAGTTTGACTGAATCACGTTGTAGTATTTATAGATCTCATGTCTACTAAATTATAAGTAATGTGATATAAATCGAGATCGATTAGGTCGATCGTTAGACAAAGATTTTGATTTTGAAATTGTCAGTATTAGCACAAGAAACAGAGTATATGGTATGGTAACATTAGCACAAGAAACAAAGTATTATGGTATGGTAACTTATATGTATTATGGTAAAAAGTTAATCACATTCAACTTTCGTTTAAAATCCAAAAAGAAGTTACATTTGCAATCTCTACAAATAATTTAACCCCTTGAGTGCACCGATATGAAACACAATAGAAAATACATTGTCTCACGTGGATCCGCATTTTAGACACGAAAGGTTAATAACTTCAACGACAAATTAGCTGACCCGAGCAAGAAAGTTAAACGCTTTGGAAGCGTGAGGATAACTTGACCGACTAAATGAATAGACCCATTTACACATAACTACATATATTTACAAGGGTATTTTATTATACATATAAAATAGATTTACATATTTAGTAAAACTCATCTTAATACAAGTACAAAGTAAAATAAAAAGATAACAATACGAAAATGATGTTTGATATAACTAAAGAAGAAGCAGCACCAGGAGTAGAAGTAGTTGTAGTAGAAGTAGGAGTAGAAGTAGACGTAGGAGTAGAAGAAGGAGGAGAAGTCGTAGGAACGGTATCTGTGTCTATAATGGGACCTCGGAAATATTGATCGAAGAGTTCATCCCAGAAAGCTGCTCTTTCCGGAATAGGGCTGGAATCCCGCAGCACTATCTGTCGACCCAAAGACATGTGAGGAGACCTTTGAGCATTGGCAGGCGTCCACGTTGGCAAACTTGAGTCACTAGATGATGGGTAACTGAAACAAATACATTAAATAATTAAATCAGTTACCAAAAGTTTATCCATTAATAACAAGGAATACAAGTGGAGGCTATATGAACAAAATCATGTTTTTTTAAAAATCTCAGACCTGTTGGATGTAATATAAAGTTACTGCCTTAAGAAACACAACAAGATGAACACATAACTTGAAACCATAAAGATTCTTACCCATTAGAAATGAAGTTAATCCAATAATCTCTCATAATTTCTTGCATTCGCTTATATTCGTTTGTAGCAGTAGTTACATCTCCATCTGCGACTATTCTTTCTTGAGAACAATGTCTCGCACCATTTTCGTCAGTTTGCGGTAAAACTGGAGAATTTTCATCTATGAAAGAATATTCAAACAAATATATCGGATCTCCGAGAGCTGCTACACGGGTTGAAAGGGTTCTTAACATTGGGAATGCAAATAATACATCAGTATTATAATTAAGGTAAGATACAATATTATGGTCATCCACGAGACTGTCTCCGAAATAAAATTGTTTAACCTTCTGGGCAATTTGCTCTTTAACTTCTTCACTATCGAAGTGTAATTCTGAAGGTAAAAAGTCTGAAAACTTTTCGTTCATCATTTCTCTCCAAGTGTCGAAAACACTCAATCTCACTGAACCATCCATGGTAGTGAATCCATACATCCGAGGCACCTTCGTATAGTTCCCTCGTGACAATAGATCCATGGGAGAATCTGATATAAATATTTCTTGCCCTAAGTCTCGTTCTACACATGGTCCAAATCTTGCAGTAACCCCTTCATTATTTAGTATGGCATCGGTACGTGAAATTAGTTGCTCAATGGTAACATTCTTATAGAATTCTTCTAAACTGTTGAAATCGTTGACATTGTCGAAGTTTAGTACCGTGGCGTAGTTCCTAGCATTTTGGATAGGATCAACTTGTGCTCCGACAGCACCAATAACAGTGCCGCTCTCTTGTATAACCTTCTTAAAAAGACCTTCCGTAAGGCTCGACACAGTGAGGAAATCCAACGAACCAGATCCTGCACTACATGAAGATAAAGTTACATCATTAGCATTACCTCCGAAACTAGCAATGTTTGTGTTTACCCAACGCAGGAGTGCTACCATATCCTTTAGTCCTGCATTACCAGGAGCAGTTTCAGTACCAAGACATAGGAAACCATGCACTCCTAATCTATAGTTAAAAGATACTGAAATTATATTTTTCCTTCTTACTAACTCTGTAAATGTTTTCTGTAAACCAAAACCAAATTGATAAGCTCCATCGTGAACAAAGACATGTACAGGTAAGTTAGTATCTTCTGTATCGGGAACAAACACGTTGACCACCAGACAGTCTTCTCGTGCATTCATAGGATCACCGGATCGCCGATGTGGACAAATAATCTTGCGATCTTCAGCTTCAAAAATTGTGACCCATGTTGGTGGAGGGAGGGGTGCCTGCACAAAATTATCAAATATTACGTTTATATAAAAGCTATACATATTTCAACTAGGTATAGCTTTTAAATTTACTGTGAATCAAAATTAGCATCATAATATAATTATATTACATTATGGGATTAAAATGGCCACAGAATATTCGTATTCCATAAATCGAAATTCGAACGATTAGGTTTACAAAAATATAAAAAAATACCTTATATCTGTCAGCTCCAGTTGGGGCAGTTGCGTATGGAATATTGTAGAATCCGTAGACCCCTCCACCGGGGAGCAGACGGCCGCGCACTGGTCCTTGCGCTGTACTGACAACGCGCGAATCATCGGCCAGGACAATTGCTAAACAGCAAAATAATAGTACCACCAACTTCCACATCTTGGATGGCTTACTGCTCTCTCAATAACCACAGACGTGACTGAGAAATATATTACCTCTCGTCTTATTAATATCAGCTAAATATCGGCAATATGTAAAAAATTAAGAAGATAAAACTAAAATCAATCATTTAGTCAGACGGAAAATATTAATTCAATATTTAATCAGCGATATCGCGATCAACTAAAAATATTTTGTATCGATCCATTTTTATTAAGTTATCAATGATTAAATAAATTTTAGTTACTAATTATAATGCATTATGTATTTAGCGGATAGAGAACATCATGACTGTGGGTGTGAGTGACACTCCGCTGCTAGACAATGGGCCTCCACTACAAAGAGAGTTAGATTGAAGACCGGTGTTTAAAATGTGTCATAGAACGCTGCTACCCAGCCTCTGTCAAATGTAGATTAGAGTAGATCCCTAGTCACCTCATGCGACATCAGCAAAAAGAATAGAGGTAGTAAAATGTAGGTATTTCACTCGGCTGTCACCACACGGCTTAACAACACTCTTCGAATCTGATATTCTGTATTTTATCACATTAAACAAAAAGTCACCATTTTAGTACACTTATTTTAATATACTTATCAAATACATTTTTGTACATTTACCTAACGTATTCAAAGTTACCTATAACAATTACACTTATTTCATATTAGACACAGATCTAGCTTCTAATTTTGTCACCAATTTAACATGCCAATGGTAACTACAATTAAAATTATTATTTTCGAGATCATTATAGAGGAGGCACCGCCAGTATAACCATCAGGCACTAGAGGACCCCGGTAGTGTTCCTCGTAGATGGAGTCCCACAATGCTGCCCTGTCTCCCAAAATATCGTCCCTCAGTTCTATGACAGGACCTATTGACATGTGAGGAGACCTTTGAGCGTTCGCTGGACGCCATAATGGAAATCGTGCATCGGTTGATGTTGGAGATCTGAAACAAAACGTTACATCACACTAAAGGTATGGAGTTTTACTACGTTATTCCTTTAAAATTACAAAATTATAAACGAGAGACAAATATGTAAAAATATAAAGTAATAATTAAAGTAAGTAAGTAATCATTCACTAAACTATGTATCTGATGCATGTTATCTAAAATTAGAACACACAAGTAAACTAGAAACAATAAATAAAAAAAATATACTGTACTACTTTAAAGAAAATAAAATGTATATAAAGAAGTAATAAGAGTCAGTCTTTCTTACCCAGTGAGTATAAAGTTGAGTGTGTACTCTCTGGCTATCTGTACCATCCGCCTGTATTCATCTGTTCTACCAGTCAGATCTTGGTCACGAACTGCTCTTGATTGGAAGCAATGCTGAGCCCCACGAATATTAGTATGGGGAAAACTTGGTGTATCTTCGTCCACAAACGAGTACTCGTATAGATAAATTGTGTCACCTAAAGCTTCTACTCGAGCTGACAAAGATTTCAACATTGGATAAGCAAATAACACATCAGTAAAGTACAGAAGAAATTGCTCCATGGTGTCTTCACTCACGTCGTTATCTCCAAAATAAAATTGTTTGACTCTGTGGGCAACCTCTTCTTTCTCTGGTAAGAAGTCTGAGAATTTCTCATTCATTTGAACTTTCCAGTCATCAAAATAGGGAAGTCTCATCGCGCCTTCCATATTTGTAAATCCGCCAGTACAGGAGGAGGAAGGGGAGCCTGTAGAAATTAATGGCATGTTTTAAACACTAGGTTTTTTATTTATATTCTAAGATCAATCATTTTCGATGTCTTATGATTGCTAATATACTTTATTAATTTATAGAAATATTTACCTTGAATCTATCTCTCCCGGTGGGCGCAGTAGCATATGGAATATTATAAAACACGTAGAGACCACCATTAGGATCCTTACGCCCGCGCACCGGTCCTTGGGTGATGTTCACCTGTAGCCAATCATCTTGGCCCTGCACCAATACTAGAATACTACAAAATACAAGTAGAGCGCACTTCCACATCTCGACCAAGCACCTAGGTCAATATGAAATCATCTTCTTGTCCAATGTTTGTTTTATATATGCACTCAATGAAGTATCTGTATCCTATCAAGCTATCAATCTAAGAAAGATAAAATTTTACAAAAATAGCTCTTATTTTAGAGATCTGTCGCAAAAGCATTGTATTTGCTAAAACTGCAATTGAGACGGATGTGATAGCCGAATATGAATTAGGAGTCCTTCCAAAGGATAATAACTTTAGGATTTAAAGGATAATAGCCATTCTGGCTAAAACTATTCATAGATACTAATCGACGTCACATCTTAAAAAATATTCTTAAACTTAATTCACTAAAAAGCATTCTTAAGTCCTGGCCAGTCATTCTCGAGAGTCAAATCATGTGCCTGTTCAACCAGATCATGAATGAACAATATTAAACTTAATTAGAATACACCGCTTATACTCACGGAATTTTCGAGGATACTCGACTAGTTTATGAGTCCTTTTTTGGGTTTAGACTAATCGAGCACCCGTGAAGGATTAGTCTCATGAGTAAGTCGTGTATTCTGGTTAATTTAATATGTATCACAATGATAAAAATAAATATTGAAAAATATGAATGTACAGAACCAAAATATAAGAGATAATCTAATCTAACAGTAATACTAAACGATGTGCTAGGGGTATTCATAAATTCTATACACACGTTCGCATTTTATTATATACCTATAAAAAGACTAATATATATTTATTACTCTATTTACTTATACTTTTTATTATTCTTAAGATAAATTTGTTATCAGTGACTTGGACTCAAAATATTGAGAAAAACAAAATTTAAGTTAATATTGGCAAGTCATTCCAATTAAATTTAAATTTAATTTCAGCAGAATAAATAGTATGAACTATTCATATAATAATATATATAGTGTCTTCATATGAAATTACTACGAACAATATGCTACCGTCACCCTATTCTTCATAATACACGTTTATTTGTATGACCGTACCCCGGCAGCAGTAATAGAAATCATAAATTCACCAAGTACCTACATTCCGCCATCTTCCTAGATATAGTGATGTCTCAGCGCTGCAGTTTTTAGCTTGAAACTCAGATTTACGGCGAGAAAAGGCAAGAAAAGGGGCCGCTAAGGCACTCTTGACGGCACTCCGTCGCACCAAAATTTAGCAATAAACTTTGGGGTGAAAATTCCCCAAACTTTATGCAGTGATAAAATCTTGAAAAGGCCTTAAGTACATGAATTGCGCAATGATCTGAAAAATTGCTTTCAAATACTTCGAGATCTCAAATTCGCATCGAAAGATCGTTGTTTTGAAGTGTTTTTGGAGTAAGTCGAATAGTATTCGTTAGGGACCTTTATCTAATGTTCCAGAAACAATTTCAAAACTGTTCTTCAGTTTTACGAACATTATAAGTCTTCTATACATATAGATCGGGCAAAGATTTTTCGTTTTCCAGAGTCCAGAATTGTGCCCAGTATATTATATAGTTATATATGCACACCCAGATTTAATAACCTGTATTTTTTATTGTGCTTATAACTTAAGTATCCGGATTCCATGCATAATCACGTGTTTGTAACTATTAGTAATGTACTCGTAAAGATAGGCAACCTATCTTTGAAACAATAGTAATAAATAATATTTTATTATCTACGATGTTACCTCTATGTTAGACTTACTTTACTACTATTGATTCGTAAACTTATCTCGGGTCACGGCTGACGTAAATACATTTTGGATTTAACTCCGGAACTAGGCAAAGGTAATTTTAATTTAATTAAAAGACAGAATTTGACATCTATTTTTTATTTCACTTATTCTCTTCCATTCGCCACTCAGATTCACATAACATTGACAACTCACGTGAATTGTATGAGTACAAAATATAAGCTGTCACCACAACGAGGTACCATTTCGCACATATTTTTATTACTGTAGCAGTGTTTTAATAGTATATGTTATCAATGCAGATTTAGTAGGCACAAACATAAAATAAATATTCATTATCTCAATAACTAATTATAAAAAAATATAAATCAAAACACATCTAATTAATACTACCTACATATCCCAGACAAAAGACACATTCCGGTTTTATCCCAAAGGTATTGCTTGTACAAATATTCATTGTTTGCCTGTTTAAGAGGTCGAAGGATTGACAACTGGTCCTCGATAATATTTGTCGTAGATTGTATCCCAGAAAGCTATTCTGTCCTGAATAAGGTCGTTTCTGAGTTCAATACGGCTGCCCAATGACATGTGAGGATCTCGTTGTGCATTCGCTGGTGGCCAGTACGGCAGAGGAGAGTTTGGATTCGATGGAGAACTGTAAACAAATTATAGAAAAACGTTACTACGATATATACCCCAAACCACAATGCCGATACGAGTTATGAAATGAAAACGGTCACTATTCATTTTCCTACAGCCCTTTTTTTTCTGACCACTGTCGGGCTTTTGTATTTAATGAACCGGTCAAGTATGTGATGACTCATCTTCATCACTGATGACAATACTTAAATATATATCACAATAATATTCAAAAAGTACTTACCCAGTCAACACAAAATTCGTCCAGTAATCTCTCATAATTTCCTTCATTTGTTTATATTCCTCTGTTCTGCCAGACACATCTTCATCTGTGACTGCTATTTCTTGGAAACAATGATCAGCACCACGTACGTCTGTATGAGGGAAACTGGGAGTATGTTCATCCACAAACGAATACTCAAATAGATATATCGTGTCACCAAGAGTCTCTATACGTGTTGATACAGATTTTAATATTGGAACAGCAAATATCACGTCAGTAAAATATGCAATGTAAGACAAAATATTCTCCTCACTAACAGGACTACTGCCGAAATAAAACTCTTTGACTTCTTGAGCTACTTGCTCTCTGACATCTTCACTCTCAAAATGTAATTCAGCTGGTAAAAAGTCTGAGAATCTCTCGTTCATGTCATTCTTCCACGTATCAAATTGCGGGAGTCGGAAAGCTCCATCCATGTTAGTAAATCCATATATCCTAGGTACTTGAGTATAGTTCCCTTGTCTTATGATATTCATCGGAGCATCAGTAACAACGCGCTCTTGTCCAAGGTCACGTTCCACGCATGGACCGAAAAGTATGTTAACGTTCTTAGCGTTCAACATTTCATCCGGATTTGAAACTAGTAGCTCAAAGGGCGCCGTTCTGTAAAACTCTTCCAAGCGGTCCAAATCATCAACATTGTGGAAGTTTAGGAGTCGTGCATAAATTTTAGCGTACTCAATAGGATCCACTTGTGCTCCAACACCACCTATACTGGCACCGCTCTCCTGTATAGTTTTTGTATATAGTCCTTCAGTGAGACTGGAAAGAGTTAAGAAGTCTATCGAGCCGGAACCTGCACTGCAAGCGGAAAGTGTCACATCATTGGGGTTGCCTCCAAAGCTGGCTATATTGGCCTTAACCCAACGAAGGAATGCTAGCTGATCTTTCAGACCCGCATTACCGGGAGCACCTTCAGTGCCAAGACACAGAAACCCGTGGACACCTAATCTATAGTTAAAAGTGAGTACAATAATTTTTCTGCTCCTTACTAGGTCCTTAAAGTGTGATTGTTGTCCGTAACCGAGTATGTAGCCTCCACCGTGGACGTTGACTAGTACGGGTAGATTAGTCTCCTCCGTGTCAGGGACAAATACGTTCGCCACCAAGCAGTTCTCATGAATATTCACTTCATCAGCCCCTAACCAAAATTGTGGGCATACGATTCTGCGATCCACAGCATTGAACGGTGTCAACCATACTGGCGGGGCAAGAGGAGCCTGGAAATTATAACAAAATGTTAGATTTTAATGAATAAATGTTAAAAAAATCCATCAAGCCGTTTAGGCTACAGGTGGTCACAAAGGAAAAGACATACATACATACTTACATACACTCGAAAAACATTACCCTCCTTCTTTGGCAGTCGGGTAAATACAATAAGAATCGCTGAATAACTCACATGCAAAAGTGAAAAATTCTCACTATTTCAACATTCTTCATATCATTGAGTGATTCAAGAATGACTAGCGTTAATTTTGGTTATGTCATCGTTAATAGATATATTGACAGTTTTTATTAAATATAATTTACCTTGAACCGATCTGTTCCTGTGGGTACCGAGGCATAAGGAATATTATAGAAGGAGTACACGCCGTCTTCGAAGCGACCTCGTACCGGACCCTGAGTGATGTTCACGAGCCGCCACTCCTCATCAGCAAGCACCAGACTAACTAACAAGCAGACCGAAAACACGCACTTCCACATCTTGACCTGATCCTTAATTAATTACTATTACGGTTCAAATGTGTATAAATACTTCAATTTTGTACTGATACCACTATCGTCACACCAGATAAGTAAGGAGACAATCAATTTAATAAGGTACTAACATCAGATGATCTAAACAGATAGCACGGATCGCTGATCAGACACAATTTTGCTAATAATCGTTAATTTTCCGCTTGTATTCGGTTTTAGCTTGTTTTTTATTGCATAAGCGGAAAAATGAGCTGACGGATAACCTGATGGTTAGCAATTGGCGCCGCCCATGGACACCTGAAACCAGAGGCGTTATAAGTGTGTTACTGGCCTCTTGGGGATTAGGAATTTGAGGATTGTTAGGGATTGGCATGATTGCGGAGGGGGTAATTGGGCCTCCGATAACTTCACTCACACTACGAAACACAACGCAAGCGTTGTTACTTGTTTGTCGGTTGGTCGGTAACTCTCCCACACTTAACATTATGATTATAGAACAGGTTAAAACATTAACCAAACCTATTGGACATAAATTATAAAGTAGCCGTGGGCCCCAAACTAGGCACAGCCTGTATCTTGGTGGCCCAACACCATGGTGGTTCACCACATCTAGCCTCGTAAATCTAAACTTAGAGATTGCAGCTGAACTCCTGCGCCCTATCTAAATAAAAATGATGCTGAACAAGATGTTGTTGAACTTTTTTATTTTTTTTCTAATAAGCGTCCAGAATTATGGAACTGCGTCTACATAACTAATAATAACAAGTAACGAACTATTCGAATTTATTAACTTAGAGCCGCGAATTACGGGTTGGCGGGGCACCAGGTCTAAGAGCAGAAGTAGGAATTGGGCCTCTTAGTCAGTAAGAGTTTGACACCTCCTCTCACCTCACTCGTGGCGAGTGAGCTGACCCCCCCCCCCCCCGTGATATCTACACAAACAGACCCCCCCCCCCCCCAAATTATAAATAACTTGCCATTTCAATGCAAGTTAAATTTGCTATAGTACTTATTATATCGTTAACATTGTGACGAATTATTTTAGATTCCTGGATCTGAAAGCGGTTTTTTATATTTAATGGGCCGACATTTGGTCTCTATCTCGCCTAGTGGTGAGCGATGCGGTCTACGATGGAGCACGTCGTCCCATAAGCAAACTTTTTACTCGGGCCTTGAAGACACTCAGATAGGAAATACAGACTCTGGCAAAAAGATTCCACTCCTTAGCAGTACGCACAAGGAAGCTTGATGCAAAGCGCTTCGTATGTGAGGGTGGGACATCTGCCACGAATCGGTGACGGTTTACAAAACTAACGCTCTTATGTCTCCTTAACAAAACTTTATAAGTAAATTGTAGAGAGGTTAACTAACTGTAGCAAGGGTTCCCCTACAAAACAGAGTCGTATACCAGTAAACCACATTGAGCGTTGAACTTAGCGTGACACGAGAACTGTGCCAAGGATTACGGAGGACAGGGAAACTTAAATCGCATCCAACGAGTGCCTACATGTTTCCTAGAAGTTTAACATTTTGGGACAACTTTCTAGTCAAATGTATACAGATAAATAAAATTGGAGTGTCTGTTTGTTATAAGTATTAAAATAACCGCTTTTTGAAACTACACGCACGCACGCACGTACGTATACACAAACAAAAATTGAAGATTTTTTTTTGTTTGTTGTTTGTTTGTTTGTATTTAGGTATGTATGCACATACGTACGTATTTACGTATGTACTATCCATCTGTTTGTACTAGCTAATCTCTGAAATGGCTGGACCGATTTTGCAAGATTTTTATTGGCAGGTAGCTGATGTACTAAAGAGTAACATAGGCTACTAATATTTTGAGAAATTCATATTCTACGCGGACGAAGTCGCGGGCAATAACTAGCGTTACCTATAAACGTACGGCGCGTCGCGTTCCGCGCGCGCCTCAAAGAGCCATCAGACCACCACAGATGGGGCCCAATACGGCCGATGCCGATTCGGAGTCGCGGAGAACCTAACGGGTAACCGGGGCTCCGACTCGAGGTGCAGGTGACGGAACGGGGTGGTTTTTAGTCAGTAAGAGTCTGACACTCCCTCCCGCCTCACCCAGGCGGGAGCAGTCATTCGATGATTTTCACCCCTTAAAAAAAAAAAGCGTTACCTATAAACCAAACTAAATTGATATTTGCAATAAAAGACTAGGATGACCAAGCTGTGTGATGTCGATATTTATTTTAAGCCATCAGTCGTGAACTGTGTTAAGTAAAATCTATTTAATAATTCAATATCTTTTTGGCTCTGCAATTCGAAGTTCATCGTCGGAACGGGCCACGTCATCGGGACAATATCACCTATTTGTACTCATAGTTCAAAATACGTATAAAGTTTGTTAAATTGAACGTGCCACTTTCTCAAAGTACCGTTCAGATCTCAAATGAAATCTATTGATTTCAATATGTTTTCAATCAAAGTAAGTAAGTACCTACCTATATTGACTGCCTGCGTTATTTTCTTAGTTATTTTAACTAAGGGTTGAAGAACATTTGACTTACTTGACTTATAGTCCTATCTCCCCTAGATGGGGCAGAAGGCGTCCACAGAGGTTCTCCATCTCGATCGGCCTTGAGCTTCTCGCTTCACCTCGCACCACGTCATTCCGATGCTCGCCGTTTCTGCTATCACAGTACGACGCCAGGTTTGCCGAGGGCGGCCTTTTTCCCTGGGGATTCCAATCCAGCGCTTGCTTGGAAATATGGTCGGGACCCCTTCGGAGCGTATGGCCTATCCATCCTCACTTGCGACGTTTGATCTGATGGTCGATCGGAGTTTCGCGGCTCTCCAATAGGTCTACATTGGAGATGGTCTCGCGACGTAAGCATCGGTTGACGAAAGCTTGGATTTGGCGGGAGATGTCTTTCGTGACCTTCTACGTCTCGCACCCGTAGAGCAGTACGGATTTAACATTGGACCCGAAGATTCTGAGGTTAATTCTTCGGGTCATGTTCTTGAAGAACATTTACTATGTTTTAAAAAGAAAATATTAATTTAGGTGTCACGAGAAGTTAGGAGCATATGTATGTATGTATATTATTTTTTTAATAATTTTATTATACAATAAATACACCGTGAAATCTATCTAGTTTTCGTCCCGAAGTAAAAGGGTTCTGTCTTGATAATACAATGGTTTTACAGGTAAACCATTGCAAAAAGCAACTTGAAAACTGCCAAGGGCGTAGCTAGCGCCGTATCTGCCGTATCAATTATACAGGGCCCCCGAACTACATGGGCCCCCAACGTGCCTAAGCCAAAATTAATAAAAACTTTCATATTTTTATTATATTTCAGTAAAAGCAAAAGTCAAAATAAACGTTTTTTTTTCCACGTAAAGCATGCATTCAAAAGATGGCAGAAACTTAAGAAAAATAAAAGTAATTAAGGTCCGCTAATTAGGGCGAAGTTGCCTAAAAAGATTTTGGTTTTCACACAAATTATAAGTATTTTGTATAATCAAGGGCCCCTAAACAATTTTTTATACGGGGCCCCCCCAAGACACGCTACGCCACTGAAAACTGCATACGAACTCGTAGTAAATTATTAAAACATCAAGCCATGTAATTCTCGAAGAGGTATTTCTCGTCAGATGACACGTGCAGTGCGAATAGTGCCTACTTTACGTTTAGTGTTTCATGTACGTGTATTTTCAAGATTTTTTTTTAAACTTAGGATTAACTTGACTGCCTCGTTGGCCGAGTGGTCGCAATTGCGACTGCCGAGCAAGGGGTCTCGGGTTCGATTCCCGGGTCGGGCAAAGTATTACTGGGTTTTAAAAAAATCTCAGTAGTAGCACGGAGTCTGGAATTGTGCCCGGTATATGGCAATAGGCTCACCCCCTATTACATGGGACTCATACCATAAATAATGAAAAGTGGGTGTTACATTGTACAGTGGCATAATGTGCACCTCTGACTACCCCTTCGGGGATAAAAGGCGTGATGTAATGTTATGTTATGTGTTACTTAAGAAAAATTATAAATTTATTTTTTGTTTTTACTTCATACCTCGAAAGCACTCCTTATGGCAAGTCCTTTTGCCGCGAGACGAAAATTAAATAAATCTCACGGCGTATAGTTAAGTATTTTAAAAAGTAACTTTACAATTAATTCTCCTCACACTATTTTTACACAAATAAAAACATTTAGTTGTAGAACGAAATCCGCTTAAAATAAACGAATTTCCATGCGAGGAATCTTCTCAATTGCGAATCAAAAGCGTAGTTTTGCGAGTCGGTCCCGCGGGGCGCGTTGCTAGTGACCGTCGCGTTTTCCAATTTTCCGCGTGTCCGGTGCATTCATCACAAGTTTCATCGCTCGACCAATAAGGTCTTGACGTTATAAACGAGCTTCGAAATAGTGCACTATGTATTTTCTGCTGATTCGTTTTATTTGTTTTACTGCTAAACTTAAAAAGTTACACGCTTTGGATGGGAACGCATAAATAAGCGACTGATTGCTATTAGGTATACTAACATATGTAGGATAGATCATCATCATCATCATATATATAGTCATCTTTGTCTGAGAAGTATCTAATAAAAACACGTTCTAAAATTAAACCGAAAAGTATAAGGAACACAGTAAACTCCACAGTACCCAGAAATTGTTCACATAGTTCAAATAAGCCTTTAGAGGGGCCGTAGTCTGTATTACTTACAATATCAGTGTACGACGCTAGACTAACAATGAAAACAATGATGACCCAGACAGCAAAATAACCTGATTTTAAAATTTTAAATTTAATTTAGAGGATGTTCCTAAGTACCTAAATATAACAATATGGTGTATTCGACCATTACCATTTAAAAAAAGTGTGTGTCTCTAAGATATACCGAGTATATAAAAAAGATATCAAACGTTTTCACGCATCGTTGCAGATTGGAATTTGATTGGCAAATCACTACTTTATGTAATGTACCTAACTGATTAACTCGATAACCATCAGTGGATAAATACTGACATTTTAGT